TTAATATAAACTAGGCCGGGCATGGTCGTTTACCCCTGTAATCTCAGAACTTTGGGAGGCTGAGAAGGGCAGATCACCTGAGGTCAGGAGTTCAAGACCACCCTGGCCAACATGATGGAACCTCCTCTCTACTAAAATCACAAAAATTAGCCGGGCGTGGTGGTGGGTGCCTGTAATCCCAGCTCCTCGGGAGACTGGGGCAGAGAAAATCGCTTGAACCCAGGAGGCAGAGGTAGCAGTGAGCCAAGACTGTGCCACTGCACTCCAGCCTGGGCGACAGAGCAAGACTCAGTCTCAAAAAAATAAAAATAAAAATAAAAAATAAAAAAATTACCCAGGCATGGTGGTGCACGCCTGTATTACCAGCTACTTGGGAGGCTGAGGCAGGAGGATCACTTGAACCCAGGAGGTCGAGGGTACAGTCACCTATGATGGTGCCACTGCACTCCAGCTCAAGTGACAGAGTGAGATCCTGCCTCGAAAAGAAAAAAATCACACTGTACCCCATAAATACTTAGAATTATTATCTGTCTATTAAAAATAATAGGCTGTGGCCTGGTGCAGTAGCTCACACCTGTAATCTCAGCACTTTGGATCACCTGAGGTCAGGAGTTTGAGACCAGCCTGGCCAACATGGTGAAACCCTATCTCTACTAAAAAAAATACTAAAAATTAACTAGGCATGGTGGTGTGTGCCTGTAATTCCAGCTACTCAGGAGACTAAGGCCGAAGAATTGCTTGACTCAGGAGGCAGAGGTTGCAGTGAGCTGAGATTGCACCACTGCACTCCAGCCTGGGCTGACAGAGACTCCATCTTGAAAAATAATAATAATAATAGGCCGGGCGTGGTGGCTCATACCTGTAATCCCAGCACTTTGGGAGGCCAAGGCGGGTGGATCACTTGAGGTCATGAGTTTGAGACCAGCCTGGTCAACATGGTGAAACCCTATCTCTACGAAAAATCCAAAAATTAGCTGGGTGTGATGGGATGTGCCTGTAATCTCAGCTACACGTGCGGCTGAGGCACAAGAATCACTTGTACCCAGGAGGCAGAGGTTGCAGCGAGCAGAGATTGCACAACTGCATTCCGGCCTGGGTGACACAGAGACAACCTGTCCAAAAAGATAAATGTTTGTCCTTGAAATTACTACGTTAGCAAAGAAGGCTTATAAAACCTTCAAATGACACCTGTAATTATAACTGAGAATATGTTGTCCCAGAAATTATGTTGTAAATTACATCTCTGAAACTCTAAGTGCTGTAAATAAGGATTTTGAACTATTGGCCTCAAGCGATCCTCCCGTTTTGGCCTCCCAAAGTGCTGGGATTACAGGCATGACCACCATGCCGGCCGTGGATTTCAGTCCCAACCTTGCCCCTCTGAGGCAGTGTAATCACAGGAAGTTGCTTTGCCTTTTTGTGTTTCAGTTTCCTCAAGTGCAAACGAGGATAACAAAAGGCAGTTTTGTGTCACCTCAGACAAGGTCCTAAATAGGCCCATTGGGATGGTTCCCATTTTTTAACATCAGAGCATCGATCTCTAAAGGTCTGCCCCTAGGTTAGGGTGGGGGGTGTCAGAGCTGCCTTGCCTGTCAGGCCCTGTTCTCCAGCTGCCACTAAGAGAATGTTGGAAATAGATAGGAACACTGAGACCAGTAGCCCCAGACTCAAGGTGAAGTGCGTGCACCTCTCTTCTGTCTCCCTCTTGCTCTTCCTCCCTCTGCATTGACTCCATCTCTTGCTCCTCTGTATCCATCTCACCATCTCAATCTTGTTCTCTCTGTTCCCGTTTTTCTTTTTTCCCTGTTATCTGTGTCTTTCTCAGTGTGTCTTTCTCCTTCTCACTTTTTTTTTTTTTTTTGATGGAGTCTCGCTCTGGCTTTCAGCCTGGAGTGCAGTGGCATAATCTCGGTTTACTGCAACCTCTACCTCCCAGGTTCAAGGAATTCTCCTGTCTCAGCCTCCCTAGTAGCTGGGACTACAGGTGCCCACCACCATGCCTGGCTAATTTTTGTATTTTTAGTAGAGATGGGGTTTCACCTTGTTGGCCAGGCTGGTCTGGAATTCCTGACCTCTGGTGATCCACCTGCCTCCGCCTCCCAAAATGGTGGGATTACTGGCGTGAGCCACTGTGCCCAGACTTTTGGTATCTTTCTCTGCATCTCTGTCTCTCCTTTGATCTCTCAAACTCTGGGTTCTCTATCTATGTGTTTCTCCCTATTCTTCTTTCTGATTCCCCCATGTCCATCTCTTTCTCCCTGATCTGTCAGGGTCCCTCCCTGAGGAAGTGAGTAAAGTGATCCCACACCTGTCAGGGCTGGACCCCCTTGCTCTTCCCTGATCCCGCCCACCTCCTTAACCCTCTAGCTCACCAACTATTTCCCTTCTCCCGGTGCAGACAGGTAGGTGGCAAACTCAAGGGCCACCGGGGTCACACTGTGAAAACATCAGCCAGGGAGACCAAAGCAGAAAAATTGGGGAGGGGAGCTGAGAGATCAAGCAAGATAGAAGTAGAGACTAAGGGCTAAGGCATGGAGGACACGGGAAGAAACAGGAGGAGGAACCTGAGACAGAGCCGCTGAAGTCCTTGCTGGAAGCAGATGGGATTAAATTAGAGACAAGACTGGGAGAGTGCCAGAGAGAGACACAAAGAGGATGCAGGTGAGGCATCTGTCGGCCTCCCTGAGGCCCCGCAGCTAGGGTGCAGGTGGACGGCAGCCGGAGGAGGCCTGGCCTGAAGCCAACTCACAGCTCTACTGGCTCCTTGCTTTGTCTCCCGCGTTTGCCTGCATCTGAGGCGGTATTCCACTCTACCTGCCTGCGTTTCTGACCCTCCTGCAGCTTCTTTTATTCCTTAGTCTCTCCCCTCCTAGTTGTGTCTGTCTCATTGACCTCTTGCATGTCTCTGTCTGCCTCCATCTCTTTCCACCTGTCTGTCTCTATCTCCCTACATGCATGTCTGTTTCTATTTCTCTCTTAATCTTTCCATCTCCTGCCTTCCCTTGGTCTCTGTAGTCTCTTCTCTTGGAAACAACGAGGGTCTCACGCTGCATTCCCTTCTTTTAGGTACAGAAGCCGCCGCCCCAGGGCCCAGGTCGCTCAGAGGGCGGGGCCTCAGGGCTCGCCCCAGCTCTCGAGCCCAGGACGACTCAGGGCGACCTAGCTCCAGCTCGAGGCCGGTGAGACCAGGCGACTGCCGTTGACGCCTGGCCTCCACGGAGTCCCGCCTCCACCGGCACCGTCCCCAGCCATCCTACGACTCTCACGCAAGGCTCCGAACCTCGCCGCAGGCTGTCAAGCTACCCCGGGCCGAGGCGCGCAGGACCACTCCTAGGCCCCGCGGGTGGGACCGGTGGCCCCCGCCCTGGAGACAGCGGGTCTTGGGGAGCACGGAGGGGCGCAGCCTTGGAGGGACCCTGGGGAGACCACAGGGTCGGGGCGTCGGAGGAGCCGCGTGGATGTAGTACGGAGGTGGAGCCCGCTGCGGCCTCAGGGGGCGGTGCTGAGCGATAGGACCCGGACTGGGCCGAGGGGAAGGTCCGGTGACCCCGGGCGCGTGGAGTCCCCAGTGGCCCCAGGACTCGCGGAAGGGAAGGGCCTCCAGGAGTTACTGGGGCGACGCTAAATCGACGCAGGTGGAGGCCTGCAGGGGGCAAGGCCGGCCCAAGGATCCAGAACGGGCGGGACTAAAGGAGGTATTGGCCCTGAGACACAAGGAACACCCTGGGTCTGATAGACGCTTCGGTCTCAAAGATGCACGCCTGGTGCTGCCACCTCAGGGCTGCGGGACTGCGCACTGCCCGGCACTGAGTCGCTCAAACAGGAGTCTCAGCTGTCACCGCTGAAGACTCTGCATCCCCACGGACCAGTTTTGTAATGAAGAAAGGGTGTTTCCACCACCTTGCAATGACTTGCAAGAAAGGGACGGTTTTCATGTCTCTTGAGGTCATTCCCAACTAGAGCAGTTTGTGCAGAGGAAACCAGTGACTCCTCAGGAAGTTTTTGCGCCTCCCCGTGGCATCTGCATCCCAGTGAAGGCAGTGTTTGCCCCACCCATGTAGAGGTTTGTGCAGAAGTCAGTTTTGGCGGGAGAACCCATGTCCACTCAAAAAAATGTCCTAGCTCCCTCATCCCAAAATGAAAACTGATTTCTGGTTATTTTGTGGTTACCCTTTAAAAACACTTGACCTGGTCAAACTGGTCTCCTGCACCCCCCCCAACACCTGTAATCCCAACACTTTGGGAGGCTGAGCGGGCAGATCACCTGAGGTCAGGAGTTTGAGACCAGCCTGGCCTACATGGTGAAACCCCATCTCTACTAAAAATGCAAAAACTTAGCTGGGCTTGGTGGTGTACGCCTGTAATCCCAGCTACTTGGGATGCTGAGAAAGGAGAATCACTTGAACCCAGGAGGTGGAAGTTGCAGTGAGCCGAGCTCATGCCACTACTACTACATCCTGGGCAACAGAGAACATCTCAAAACAGCAACAACAAAACAAAGACCAGGCCACCTTGAGGGAGCTAGTCTCCCGGCCCCTCCTTCCATCCCAGATCCACCCTGAGGCCACACAGAGGGAGGGGAATCACCTTTACAAATGCTGTGCTGAGCATCCAGAAAGAAAGGACTCTGGTGAGGCCACATTTCCCAGCCTCGGAGATGGGGGCTTGTGGAGCAGGGGTCAGGGGTACTGGGGTGTGTGTGTGTGGATGGGGTCAGGGGCACAACATCCAGAACCACCCCCACCCCCAGCAATCCTGGTGTTCACTCCCTTCTTTCCCAGGCTTGTTCCTCTGACAGACCCATCACCTGGCCCCAGACAACCTTATTCATGTCCCTAATTCACATCTTCAATCTCCCTTCCTGTTCATTCATCCCATAGACATTTACTAGAGCCCACTTGCTGTGGGTCTCCAAGTCTGGGGCTTCTGAGTCCCTTAAGCAAGCTCTGCTCCTTGTCCTATGGAGGGGCCCCATAGGCAGCTCAAGGAGTCCACACATAGGCATTTCAAAACGGACTTTATTATTTTTTTTTCAAAACGGGCTTTAAATACTTATTGGGGTGCCACACAAAGGAGCTGGGGTGAGAACTTGGTACAGTGAGTGTGGGGCTGGGGTGCCCTGAGAGAGAAAAAGGGGGACCCATCTGTCAGGGCAGCTGGGGTGCCCCATCCCCACCCTGGGACTAGGGAGCAGAGTAGAAGCCCTCTCTGGAGGGTCCCAGGGCTAACTGGGAGCCAGCCCTCCCTTCGAGGTAGATCATCGGGGAGGGAACTGAGAAGCAGCTCCCATGGTGGCAGTGGCTTCCTCAGTGGTACTGCTGATAGCTGGGATAGCCTGGGGGTGGGGTGCCATCCTTAGGGGGCAGCTGGCTGGGGTCCTCCAGGAATGGGGGTGCTGGAGAGGGGAGAATCCGGTAAGGATGAGTGGAAGAGGCCAAGTGGAGCATTTCCCACTCCCCTCACCACCATCTACCAGGTACTCACCATTTCGGAACTGCTGGGCCGTGTAGCGAGTGAGGAGGATGCCAACACCCTCGATGAGGGCCAACAGGATGCCCCCCATCATTGCTGAGCCCATCATGGCCAATGGACCACCTGGGGGAGTTGGGGGCAGAGAAACAGAGGTGAGGGCAGGCAGAACAGGGTGGAAGAGGCTGGGGTCAGGGCCAGGGCCAGGGGGCACTCACTGCGGGCAGCCAGCACAGCCCCGGTCAATGCTCCACTGGTGATAGAGTTCCAGGGATCCTCCTTGCCCCGAAGCCGCACCAGGCCACAGTCGATGGTGGAGAACAGTCCCCCCCACACTGCAAAGCTACCTGTAGTGGGAACAAGGCCTAATTAGTTCCTGGGAAATCCCAAGAATTCACATCTCAGGGGGCTTCCAAGGCCTGAATGCTTCGGCCAAGAACAGGGAAAAAAAACCCAGACACAAAGGCAGATAGCAAATCCCCAGAGAGTATTTCCTATCTGTCCCCATCCTGTGGGGAGCTCCCACTTCAAGTCATCTATAATCACCATCGACATTCCCTTCACCTTTATGGGGAGCTGACAAATGTTTACAAGCAGATATATCTTCATATAGCCTTTAACAGAGCAATTTTGATCTTCATAATCACCACACAGAGTTGGAATTCTGATTTGGGTTTCAGTGAGAAGAAAATAGGTTAGAAAAGCCAGTTAATTGATGTTAAAATTAATCAGTTAAAATGTTTACTGAGGGCTTACTGTGTGCCAGGACCTGTTTGAGGTACTGTGTTGACTTCTGCAATTTTAAATTAGTTAATGTTATTAAAATGTTTAGCATAGCAACAAGCACTTAGTAGTATGTAAATTACATAAACTACAAAACTACTGATAAGGTGGTTACTGTTATCACCACCCCCATAGAACAGGTGAGGTTCAGAGAGGTTAAGCCACTAGCCCAAGGTCACATGGCAGGGAAGAGTCAGGACCTAAATTTAAACTCCAGAACCCACTTTCTTCCCCTCCATATTCAATTGTTAGAAAACAACACAACCCTGGAAAGTCTCTGGCAGGGGCTAGAATCTGAACCCCCAACTTGAAGCCTAGACCTGAAGGATCAACCACTCTCATCTTTGCCAAGACATCTCCTATATCTATATCCCCAAGCCCCTCACCTCCAATCTGGGGGGCTCGGATCCTCACAGCGTTGGCACTACCTCTCAACCGGTGCCGAATTCCCTGGGGAAAGGAAGAAAGGGAGTCAGAGCAGGGCTGAAGCCACTGGCAGATGGGTTTCCAGCTTTTAAAAGAGGGAAGAAGATGGGAGATCTGTTAGAGGTATCAGCCATAGAGATGTGGAGAAGTGGCCAAGAACTAGGGGTGTGGAGAGTGCCCCAAAATGGATGTTCTCAGAGCTGAGTTGACAAGTACTAATTCATTCATATATTTGTTCATTCATTCAGTAAATGATTAACAAGTACCGCCGCTGGGCACAGTGGCTCACGACTGTAATCCCAGCAATTTGGGAGGCTGAGGCAGGCAGATCACGAGGTCAGGAGATTGAGACCATCCTGGCCAACATGGTGAAACCTCGTCTCTAAAAAAAAAAACAAAAAACAAAAAACAAAAAAAACAAGTACCTAACTATATGTGCCATGTGCCAGGCACCATGCCATATACAGGGATACAGCCACGAACAAGGTAGATCTGCTCCCTGCCCTCTCAGAGGTCACATTAACAGTGGGAGACACAGATCCTGAGGCAAGGGTAGATAAACAAGGGAGCTTCAAACAGCAATCTGCACTTTAGCAAAAACACCATGAAGAAATAGGATTGGGGCTGAGGTGTCAGGAAAGGCCTCTTGAAGGGGGGGAATTCATGCTGAGACCTTGATGATGAGAAACTTGGCCAAAGATCCAGGAAGGAGAGTTCCAGGAATCTAGGGGAGGGATGGGGCTACATATGTAAATTGCAGAGAACTTGGCAAATAGATGGCATTAAAGCCACAGCATTTTCAATCTTCTGGGAAGGGAGGTGGTCAGAGTGAGGGAATCTGTGGGGATCGCTCCCGTGTGAGGCCCCTGGGAAACGGGCCTCGCCATACGGTAAGCTTGAGCCCGGACACAGATCCCCGGTTGGGGGAGTCGAGCTGAGGGAAAGCAGGAACTGAGAGAGGGACTATGTTATTCTAAATAGTTAACAGACATTACTTTATGGATATGAGGACTTGGGAGTCAATGTGTCCACTTTCGGCTCCTTATGGTTTATTGCTTGATTGTGTTCATTTTGGACCCTTGTTACCTTCATTGTAAAATATTAACTTAAGTATTTACACTTGGTAACTTACTTACCATAACTTACTGGGTGTAACTGTAACTTACTTCCCATAGCTTACTGGGCATGACTGTAACTTACTTACATTGATCTATTGGGCGTAACCTAATTACTGAAAGTAACCTACTTACTGGGCGTAACCTACTTAATGGGATTAACTTACTTACTGGGCGTAACTTAGTGGGCGTAACTTGCTTACTGTAACTTAAGTACGTTGATCTGGTGTAAACAACTTTGGCTTCAGAAAAGTATATCATGAAATGTATTGCAAAAATAAAATTGCTGCTTGGACATAGCCTAAGCCAGCCCTCCAGACTCCACTTTTCTATTTTCTTTCACTTTCCCGCACTCTCTCCCTCAGGTTGAACGAGACATCTACGTTGGCGGTCTTGGGGACTCCTGCGGGTCGGTAGTCCCCAGGCAGACGTGCCGGACCCCGACATCAGAGAAAAAGAAATACGTTAAAAAAATTATCTCAACTTTAAGGCTGTCTTCCCTCTGGCAATTAATTCCTGTCATTTTCCTCTATCCAGGTTTCTGAGCCAGAATCTGCCTCTAGTACTGCCTGTAATCCCAGCACTCCGGGAGGCTGAGGTGGGTGGATCACTTGAGCTCAGGAGTTAGAGAGCATCCTAAGCAACATCTTGAAACCCCATCTCTAAAAAAAAAAAAATTAGCTGGGTGTGGTGGCACAGTCCAGTGGTCCCAGCTACTTGGGAGGCTGAAGTGGGAGGATCACTTGAGCCTGGGAGATGGAGGTTGTAGTAACTGTGATCGCACCACTATACTCCAGCCTGGGAGAAAGGGCAAGATGCTGTCTCAAATTAAAAAAAAAAAAAAAAAGGCTGGGTGCAGTGGTGTGATCACAGCACTATAATCTCAGCACTTTGGGAGGCCCACTAGGCAGGTGGATCATGAGGTCAGGAGTTCGAGACCAGCCTCATCAATATGGTAAAAACCCGGTCTCTACTAAAAACACAAAAATTAGGCAGGCATGGTGGCAGGTGCCTGTAATCCCAGCTACTCAAGAGGCTGAGGCAGGAGAATTGCTTGAACCCAGGAGGCAGAGGCTGTAGTGCCACTGCACTCCAGCCTGGGCAACAGAACAAGACCTCACCTCAAAAAAAAAAAAAAAAACTTGGCTGGGTGCAGTGGCTCACTCCTGTAATCCCAGCACTTGGGGAGGCCGAGGCAGGTGAATCACCTGAGGTCTGGAGTTCGAGACGAGCCTGGACAACATAGTGAAACCCTGTCTCTACTAAACATACAAAAATTTGCCAGGTGTGGTGGCACCTGCCTGTAATCCCAGCTACTCGGGAGGCTGAAACAGGAGAATCACTTGAACCTGGGAGGCGGAGGTTGCAGTGAGCCAAAATCGTGCCTCTGCACTCTAGCCTAGGTGACACAGCGAGATTCCGTCTCCTTTCTTTTCTTTTTTTTGGCTCACCTTTAACTGTCTTGATCGAGTTATAGGGAGAGACTGTCTCAAAAAAAAAAATCTGTTTAGCTTTGCACGCACATTTAAGATTTGGTAATGACTCTTTGAACAACACAGCATTTCCACAGAGGAGCTTCAGTTGGATGGGGTGGAGGGTGGAGGACAGAGGTCATGTTTGCAATCCCTACAAAATCCCAGATATAGGAGTCAGGCTTGGCACACAGTAGGTGAGTGGGCACCAGAATGAAAAAGTACATGTGACTGACAGCTCCAAGCAGTTTTCAGAGCAACATCCCTTGTGGGCAAGACAGCTGATCCCACACCAACGCAAGGAAGGTCTGGACTCACAACAGGGGCATTGCGGAAACCCTTGATGGCCTGGAAGACTCCACCACCGATGACACCCATAGTGAAGGCTCCTCCGCAATCATCCACAATTCGCCATGGGCTGCAAGCAGGAAGGGAAGGACGGGGTTATTGTGAGCCCTCCCCTAGGCCCTGTCACAAGGATTCTTTTCTAACTGGGAGAAACCTAGTCACCAGAATGGGAAGTGCCTAAGTAGGAACAAACACTTCAGATAATAAGGAGCTAGTCCTGTCAGTTCCCCCTGCATTAAAGCGAGAAATAGGGCAAAGGGGGAGAAATATTAGTCTTCGCCCTGTCTACCAACCAAGGAATCGGCCAACTGCTTTACTGTGCTCAAAGATTAAATGAATTGGCACACGCAAAGAGCTGACGTTTCAATAAGCGAAATAGGCGTGTTAACGAACCAAGACAGATCATCAGCAAAGCAGGACCGCCTCACACCCCTTCTCCGACGGTGAGACCGTCCAATCAAGCCCCGCCCCTTTTCAATCCAGTACAACTGGGAAAAACCAAGAGCGAACGCGGGGAGGATCCACCGCCCCCACTGGCCTTCAATAGGCTCATCCGTGCCCCGCCCCCACTAACAAAGGCGACCTGGGAAAAACCACCCGCGGCAACTCTGGGGATTTCCGTTCAACCCCGTACCACCCCCAGCGGGGATGGATTCGACCAACGTGTTTTTCGTTAACAAACAGGTAGTAGATTACGAAGTCAAGAAAACGTGGCGTGGTTCGGCCTCCGCCGCACCTTCTGAGCGGAGACGGTTGTGGCCCCTCATAACGGAGCCCGAGTGACAGGAACCAAGTTGGGGGAGTGGGAGATACGTTAAGAGTACCCCGAGTCTGGTACATGGTTCTGTGCGGCCGACGCCTCCCCCGCCCGACCCCCACGGCTGGCCTTGGCGTCGCAGCAACAGTCCCGATGCCAGTGCCCATCGCCGTACCAAGGCTCCCGAGCGTACTCCTCCATGGCGCTGGCGTCTGGCCGCGCAGTCAGGCCATGCCCCCAGTGTTGACGCACCTTGGCGTCCGAGCTTTCCGCCTATTACCGGACAGCGATTGGGTTGCTACGCAGACGTCACACCAAGGACACACTCTCATTGGCCAATCGAATTTGCGCCATTTGCTCACTGCCTCTTTAGCGTAGTCCAGTTACCTTCAAGCTCGGGGAGAGAAGACCTCATTCTGTGCTTTGGGAAGAGAGTCGTGTGGTCCCAGGTAGCGTAGCGGCGACACGAGAGAGACGGCCGGTGTGACAGCCTTCCACTACCTGCACGACTGTATTGGTAACGTTGGGGTGGGTGCATTCTTTTGGAGCTGGAGGAAGTGCTGCCCTCTGCTCCCCCATCCCAGCGCTTTGGTTTCTCCCACCCGGCGATCTTTGGGGGACGCTGGATGAGCCCATTTCTGGGGTGCGGGGTAGCCGCGCTTCTTAGGCGGTGGGCGGAGCCTGGGCCTGGGAGAGGAACTGGGTCCTGGAGCACCCTGTTTCGGGACAGAGTTGGTGAGAGTTTTGGTGATATTGCCACCTATCTCTTACATCTTGTAGTGTGTATGTTCTGTCCACCCAACTACTGTTTCAGTTGAATAGATGGGAGTCAGATGTGTACATGTTGAGGGGAGGCGCTTGTTTACGGGATCCAGATATGAATCTTTATCTGAGCTGCTTGTCAGTTTGTCCTGTTCTTAGGTCTGTCTGCTACCAGGTATGCCGCTGCCTGTTGCGCTGCAGACCCGTTTGGCCAAGAGAGGCATCCTCAAACATCTGGAGCCTGGTGAGACAGCTAAAAGCAGATGGTCCTACACGTTCCAGCCTCCACCGGCACTTTTGTTGTTGATATTGATGCTTGATACCTAGAGTGGACCAACTGTGCACTAAGCAATGGGGTGGCAGGCATTTTTCGTTGTTAACGATGTGGATTCCTCACGTCCATCCCTACCATATCTCAAGTAGAGGGGGTTGGGGGAATAGGTTTTTTTTTTTTTTTAAAGATCGAGTCTCGCTCTGTGCCCAGGCTGGAGTGCAGTGGCATGATCTCTGATCACTGCAACCTCTGCCTTCCAGGTTCAAGCGATTCTCCTTGAATCTATAGGCACGCCCCACCACACCTGGCAATTTTTTTTTTTTTTTTGAGACGGAGTCTGGCTCTGTCGCCCAGGTTGGAGTGCAGTGGCGCAATCTAGGCTCACTGCAACTTCTGCCTCCCAGGTTTAAGTGATTCTCCTACCTCAGCTTCCTGAGTAGCTGCCATTATAGGCGTGTGCCACTACACCCAGCTGATTTTGTTTTTTGGAGACGGAGTCTCGCTCTGCGCCCAGGCTGGAATACAGTGGCACCATCTTGGCTCACTGCAACCTCCCCTTCCGGGTTCAAGCGTGATTCTCATGCCTTAGCCTCTCAAGTAGCTGGGACTGCAGGCATACCACCATACCCAGCGATTTTTTTTTTTTTGAGACAGAGTCTCGCTCTGTTGCCCAGGCTGGAGTGCAGTGGCACGATCTAGGCTCACTGCAACCTCTGCCTCCCAGGTTCATGATTTTCCTGCCTCAGCTTCCCAAGTAGCTGGCATTATAGGCATGTGGCATCACACCTGGCTGATTTTTTTTTTTTTTTTTTTTTTTTTCGGGCAGAGTCTTGCTCTGTTGCAGAGGCTGGAATGCAGTGGTGCTATCTTGGCTTACTGCAACCTCTGCCTCACCAGTTCAAGCAATTCTCCTGTCTCAGCCTCTCTAGTAGCTGGGACTACAGGCATACGCTGCCATGCCTGGCTAATTCTTTATATTTCTAGTAGAGGCGGGGTTTCACTGTGTTGCCCAGGCTGGTCTCAAACTCCTGAGCTCAAGTAATCCACCTGCCTCAGCCTCCCAAAGTGCTAGGATTACAGGCATGAGCCACGGCGCCCAGCCACACCCGGCTGATTTTTGTATTTACAGTAGAGACAGGATTTCACCATGTTGGCCAACCTGGTCTCAAACTCTTGACCTCAGGTGATCCACCCCCCATCGATCTCCCAGAGTGCTGGGATTACAGGCGTGAGCCACCACATCCCACGGATATTTCATTCTTAACAAAACTGACTGGCTGGGCGTGGTGGCTCACTTGAGTTTAGGGGTTCAAGACCAGCCTGAGCAACAAGGCGAAACCCCATCTCTACAAAAAATGCACAAATTAGCTGTGTGTTGTGGTGCGTGCCTGTAGTCTCAGCTATTTGGGAGGCTGAGGTGAGAGGATTGCTTGAGCCTGGGATGATGTCGAGGCTGCAGTGAGCCGAGATTGTGCCACTGCACTTCAGCCTTGGTGACACATGGAGACCCTGTCTCAAAAAAATCCAAAAAAACCAGAAAACAATACTGACCACCTAATGCCTATGTTGGGCCTATCGTATGCCAGGTTAAACCCATGGATTACTCTGGGAGTGATGACACAGTATCTAATAGGAAGGATTGCTAAACTTCTACTGCTGTCTCCTGTGTGCCAAGTACAGTTTCAGTGAGGATCTATCATTTAGGCTTATTGAGCTCTGGCTGCAAATCACACCCTATTGTCAGTAATACTAAAAACTGGCATCTATTTGAGGCTATGGTGTGGCACTGAAAAATACATCTTATCCTTATTGATAACTGACATCTATTACAAGCCTACTGTATGCAAGGCATAGACCTCCTTGTGGTTAATAATATTGACAATGATCATTGATTTTATTTTCCTTTTTTTTTTTTTTTTGAGAGTGTCGCTCTGTCACCCAGGCTGGAGTGCAGTAGCCCAATCTCGGCTCACTGCTACCTCTGCCTCCTGGGTCGAAGCAATTCTCCTGCCTCAGCCTCCTGAGTAGCTGGGACTATAGGCACGCACCATGGTGCCTGGCTAGTGTTTGTATTTTTTAGTAGAGACAGGGTTTCACCATGTTGGCCAGGCTGGATTTTCTTTTAAGCCTACTGAATGACCTGTCCTTATGGTATGTATCTTATTTATTTATTTATTTGAGACACGGTCTCACTCTTTTGCCCAGGCTGGAGTGCAGTGGCACGGTAATAGCTCACTGCAAGCTCAAACTCTGGGGTTCAAATGATCCTCCTGCCTTAGCCTCCTGAGTAGTTGGGATTATATATACGTACCATTGTGCCCAGGTAATTTGTTTTGTGGAGACAGGGGTCTCGCTGTGTTGACCAGGCTGGTCTCATGTTGAACTTCTGGCCTCAAGTGATCCTCCACCTTAGTCCAAAGTGCTGGGATCACAGGTATGAACTACCACACCCAGCCTCTTATTAACAGTAGTGGTGATTATATAGCTGACATCTGTTTTGGTTCTGCTGTGTGACAGCCACTGTGCTGTTGCTGGCATATGCATTTCATTATTTATTATATCCACAGCTGAAATCTGTTATAGGCCTACTAAGGGCCAGGCACTGAGCTAAGGGACATCTTTTTATTCTATGATATTGACTGATACCTGCTGCAGGCTTACTGTGTGTGTCAGGCCTCAGGAACTGAACGGATTCAGAGTAATGTTTGGATAAATCCACTGCCATCCAAACTCCTGATACCCAATATACGGGACTTACCCTGTAATCATGAAGCTCGCATGCTAAACAGATTGAACATATTGTCAGATTAATCCTTTACCGTTGAAACCCATTTTATCTAAATAGATTTGGATTACACAGTTTTACATATCTGAACTCGAACTGAATAGAGAAGGGTAAATTTTGGCCAGGCCCGGTGGCTCACGCCTGTAATCCTAGCACTTTGGGAGGCCGAGGTGGGTGGATCACCTGAGGTCAGGAGTTCAAGACCAGCCTAGCCATCATGGTGAAACCCCATCTTAAAAAAAAAAAGAAAAGAAAAAAAAAGAGAAGGGTAAATTTTTTGGTGAATCCCTGTCAACTCTGAAACAAGATAGCTTTGGCCAACAATAGAACTCATCATCTGAACCCAGAAACAGAACAGTTAGGTAAACTTTTTTTTTGTAACCCTCTTAATACAGAGAGTTGGATTTGGAATGTGAGGGATACTTCATATCCTTCCTGGCATACACACACACACGTGTCTTTTACATGTGGCTTGTGTGGAATGTGTGTGTGTATCTCTAGGCTCTGTAGGATGAGGACTCCCCTGGTCCCTAACTGCTCTCCTCCTCCCCACCTTGATCTGCCAGAACCAGAGGAAGAGATCATTGCTGAGGACTATGACGATGATCCTGTGGACTACGAGGCCACCAGGTTGGAGGGCCTACCTCCAAGCTGGTATAAAGTGTTCGACCCTTCCTGGTGAGCCTGGATGAGGGGGAGGTGACTTCTGACTTCACCCTTCCTGTGCTGGCCTTGATTGTGAAGTACAGGGGCACACAAGGGAGGGGCCCTTGGGTGGGGGTTGTTGGGTATCTGCAGGACCCAAGTTGCTGCATGCTGGGGCCTGGCTCCTCTGGGATTGGAAGAGGAGATGAGATTCTGGGGATCCTCCCTGTGGGGTCCTGACATGGGGCAAGTATAGTCAGAGACTGGGGAGACAAGAGTTGAGGATCTAAGGCGAGGACTTCTGTGCTGAAACTCCTCTCCTCCTGTGGCCCCACAGTGGGCTCCCTTACTACTGGAATGCGGACACAGACCTCGTATCCTGGCTCTCCCCACATGACCCCAACTCTGTGGTCACTAAATCTGCCAAGAAGGTCAGAAACAGTAATGCAGGTGAGTTGGCAGGTACAAGGGGGCCTTGAGTGATCTTAGCAGTTTTCACTGAGAGGCCAAGTAGAATGATAGTGGATCAGAGGGGCAGGTGAGACCAGGTGGGCCCAGCCTCAGGCAAGGGAGGTTGTTGAAGGCAGAGGCTGCTGGGTCCTGGGGTAGAAGAGAAGGTCACTTCAAGACTCATGTCCTCAGATGCTGAAGAGAAGTTGGACCGGAGCCATGACAAGTCGGACAGGGGCCATGATAAATCAGACCGCGGCCATGAGAAACCAGACAGGGGCCATGACAAGTCAGACCGGGGCCACGACAAGTCTGACAGGGATCGAGAGCGTGGCTACGACAAGGTAGACAGAGAGAGAGAGCGAGACAGGGAACGGGATCGGGACCGCGGATATGACAAGGCTGACCGGGAAGAGGGCAAAGAACGGCGCCACCATCGCCGGGAGGAGCTGGCTCCCTACCCCAAGAGCAAGAAGGGTAAGCTGGGCAGAATGGGGCTGGTGAAACCAGAAAGGCACAGGGCACACCGAGGAAGCCTTCTCTCAGAAAGGTGCCTGGACCTGGGGCCTGGAGGAGGGTGCTGTGGTCCATGGCAGCCAGGGGCTCCATTTCTTCTTGGGGGGTTGGGCCCAGTGATCAGGGGGCTCGTGGTACCTCTATTGAAGATCCTGCCCTGCCACTTCCACAGCAGTAAGCCGAAAGGATGAAGAGTTAGACCCCATGGACCCTAGCTCATACTCAGATGCCCCCCGGTAAGTGACAGCCCCTCATGACTCAATATGTGGACACCATCCACCTGCCTCCTTCCTCCATTCCTCATTGTGACCAGGTGGGCTGTGTCTGCCACATCTCCCATCCCCACCCCCTGACTCTTTCATCGGCAGGGGCACGTGGTCAACGGGACTCCCCAAGCGGAATGAGGCCAAGACCGGCGCTGACACAACAGCAGCTGGTCCCCTCTTCCAGCAGCGGCCGTATCCATCCCCAGGGGCTGTGCTCCGAGCCAATGCGGAGGCCTCCCGAACCAAGCAGCAGGATTGAGGCTTCAGCCTTCCCAGCCCTGGGTTAAAATAAAAGTTTTCCGGTGATGCTGCCCACCATGCCTGAGTGGTTCCTTCGAGGCTGCCCAACCCAAGTCGGCAAGATGTACAACACATTTTATTTGCAAAAACTCAGCTAAGAGATCGTGTGGGGCTGGCAGGAGCTGGGGGCTGAGCTAAGGTGGGTCATTACGAGACAGCTTAGTCATGTCGGCCCTGCACAGGGCAGGGGTGGAGGGTACAGGGAGTCCGGTGTCTACCTCACCCTACCCCTAATACTGATCAGTTTGGTCCCAGCTGGGCCAGAGCAAGAAGAGAGAACGAGGCCAGGCCAACGTCTTCAATCCCAGCGGCTAGGAACCCTTCACCTTGGTGAGCAACCTGCGGTGGGAATGGGGAGGAAAGAAAAACACAAAGCTGGGCTAGGCTGGCAGGTGGGTTTCCTGAGCAAGCGAGGGTGGCAGTGGTGAGGCTGGTAGTCCTGGGGGTTAGTAACGATGCCCACTTGGGTCAGAAAGCTACACATGGACTAAATAAATACAACATCTTTATTTGGCATTGGGTATCCTGACATTTGTTCATTACAGTTCCTTAAAAAACAAACCAAAAAAATCAGAACAAATTAATCAAAAATAAAGATCCAATGGCTCTATTTACATATAGCAAAGACAGCCCAGGCATCTTCCATGCACACACACACCCCGTGCCCCGATACAGTTAAGGGGTTAATAAGCTTTGGGGAGTGCAGGAGGCAGGTTCCATAGTTCATCAATCCCAAGACACCCCCATGAGGTAGGGGTGCCTGACACAGCCAATGGGGTATCAAGAATGTGATTGGCAGCTTTATTTTTCCTCTCTAGATGTCTCCATAAATAACCCTGCATCTGGCAACTGACAGTGTCTTAAATACAATGAGATTCAGCCACTTCAAGGACCTCCACTTTTCCCACGCCCTGGATCATTAATGATCTGATTACACCACAAATCCCAAGTCCACTGGAAAAAAAAAAAAATAGCCCCTACCGCCCACCATAAGGGCTGATGCAAAAATCTCAGCTCTTGTCCAGGACTCGCAAGAAGCCCATCCTCAAGGTGTCAGGGAAGCTGCCCCAAGGCCACACAAAAGACCGAACTGCTAACATGATCCAGAGTGGTGGTAAGGGAGGAGAGAAGGCCTCAAACTATGGGCGACCAAACCCCACAGGTAGGCATCGGTCATTCCTGAAGAGCTGCAGGACTTTTGTCCAGTGTGTCCTTGTGGAGGTGGAGAGACTGCCGGGAGGGACTCTCCCAGACAAGACACCTCCGGCAGAGGGCACAGGGTGGGGAAGGGGGCAGACAAAAAAAAAGGCCTTGAATGACAATAACCCCCAACCCTGCCTCCAAAGAGGTTAGAGGGGGCAGAGGAGGCAGCTCTAAAACCCCTCCAGGGGAAGAGGATCAGCCTACCAGGAAGGGTTCACGTGACACCCAGCCCTAGTCTCAAGCCCCTCCAGAAGTCTCAGTGATGTGGGAGAAAAGACCATCTCCCAAACCCAGAGGAGCCAGGCCCCGGAGGGCGGCGACTTGGGTCCTGCAGATGCCCAACACCCTCTACCCAGTCCCCCTCCCTTGTGTCCCCCCATTGCTGCCAGCCCTCACTTCACCAGCACTGACTTTGGCAGAAAGGGCTCCGTGATGAGGTCTCCACGGTGGGAAGAAAGCTGTGGTGGTGGTGGCTGCCCCGGAGGCTGCTGGTGAACGCAGGGCCCGGAGGCGGAGGCGGAGGCAGAGGCAGCGGCTATGGCTTTGGCTGCACCTCGGGGAAGGCTGTAGAGGTAGACAGCACCAATGACGAGCCCAGCGCCAAGGGCAAACAATGGGTCCACATGGAAGCCAAAGAGGCGAATGGAGGCAACAGTGGACAGCACAATGGACAAGGAGGTGGCAAAGCCCTTGAGGATGTTGTCAGCGTACTTGACAACCACAGCCACCAATAACCCGCCGAAGGCCTGGTTGAGTACCACGCCCCAGACAGCAGGCGTGTACCCAAAAAAGAAACCGCGGCTGGCCACGGCAGTGCCCTCAGCCCACCAGAGCCCCACCAGGCCCAGTGCTGTACCAAAGAGGCCCAGTTGCAGGTTGCGTAGCCACACAGAGCCTGAGCTGCCTTTGAGGATCTTCTCAAAGTAGACACCTGCGAAGCCGGAGGAGAGACAGGAGGCCACGACAGCTGCCAGGCCTGCCCCAGGGTTCTGATCCAGTGGCCGTGGGCCTCCCCCACCGGCTTGCTGTGCCTGGACAATGGCGACGCCAGTAAAGAGGAGCAGCAGGGAGGCCCACTGCAGCCGGGAAAGGCTGCGGTTCAGCATAAGCACAGAGAACAGCGCTGTGGTCAGGATCTTCAGCTGGTACGTCACCTGTGAGTGGCACATGGAAGGCACTGAGGGCTGACCCCAGCCCCCAACAGGTGCACGTGGGGGGCAGCACCTACTGTGGGCCCCAGTCACAACAGAGGGACAGGGTGGGGTGGATGATAATAAAAACAGCAAAAGTAGCCAGCCACTGGCCATTGACTGAGCTGTAGCAAAACAGCTCTGAGGTCCCTCCCAGAAAGTGCACAAAAGGATGGCTGTGCCAGGAAGTCCACATCCCAATCCCATTTCCTGGCTGTGTGACCAGGGACAAAGCACTTGCCCTGTTTGAGCCCTGGCATCATCTATAAAATATGGCTGAGGTATAGAAGTAGGTAATCTCAGCTGTACATGGTGGCTCACGCCTGTAATCTCAGCACTTTGGGAGGCTGAGGTGGGCGGATCACTAGAGGTCAGGAGTTCAAGACCAGCCTGGCCAACATGGTGAAACCCCATCTCTTTAAAAAAAAAAAAAAAAAAAGAAGTAGGTAATCTTTGTGATGAGGGACTTGATACAAATGAATCAATAGCAACAATGTTAGCAAATACTTACATAGTGCTTACTATGTATCAGTGCAGTTCTAGGTACTGTACATGAATTCATTCATTTAGTCCTCACAACACCATTCTGAAGTAAGTACCACTATAAGCCCTGATTTTTTTTTTTTTTTTTTGAGACGGAGTTTCGCTCTTGTTACCCAGGCTGGAGTGCAATGGCGCGATCTTGGCTCACTGCAACCTCCGCGTCCTGGGTTCAAGCAATTCTTCTGCCTCAGCCTCCCGAGTAGCTGGGACTACAGGCACGCACCACCATGCCCAGCTAATTTTTTATATTTTTTTAGTAGAGACGGGGTTTAACCTTGTTGACCAGGATGGTCTCGATCTCTTGACCTCGTGATCCACCCTCTTTGGCCTTCCAAAGTGCTGGGATTATAGGCATGAGCCACTGCATCCAGGCCTGTTTTTAAGATGGAGTCTCACACTGTTGCCTGGGCTAGAGTGCAGTGGCACAATCTCAGCTCACTGCAACCTCCACCTCCCGGGTTCACCCGAATCTCCTGCCTCAGCCTCCCGAGTAGCTGGGATTACAGGCGTGCACCACCACACCCAGCTAATTTTTTGTATTTTTAGTTGAGATGGGGTTTCACTATGTTTGCCAGACTAGTCTCAAACTCTTGACCTTGTGATCCACCCACCTCGGCCTCCCAAAGTGCTGGGATTACAGGCATGAGCCACTATGCCTGGCCGTAAGCCCTGATTTAAAGATCAGAAAACTAAGGCGCAGAGAGGTTAGGTGACATGCCTCAAAATCAGACAGCTGGAAAGTAGCAGAGCTAAGACTTGAACACAGGCAGCCTGGCCGTAGAACTCAGGCTCTTTAACCATTTCACAAAGCTGCCCACAGATAGCCTAAAGCTTATCTATTGGCAGCTAAGGGCTCTTCACAGATACTTCTTTTAAGTATCCCAGCATCTCAGTGAACAGGCATTACTATTTCCACCCCCAATTCTCACAGACAAGGAAAGGGAGGTTGAGGGCATTCTGAGGACATTCTGGAGGTAACACAGCCCCTGTCCTCTGCAATACCCCCCACCACGCCATTCCCATACTCCAGTCCCCAACCCAGTTCCTCTGGGGCCATGCTGGGCTTGGGGCTCACCTGGAAAGTGGCAGCTGGTAGGTTAGAGATGGCAACATACTGGAGGTTATTCTGCAAGGTGTAGATAAGAGAGGGCACTGCAAGCTTGAGCGTGTCCACATACTGCACCAGGACAGCCTCGTGGAGGAAGAGAATCAGGTGCTTCACGTTACCTAGGTGGGAGGAGAACCCTTTTTAGCACTGACAGCCATACATCGGGAACGCCTGAAGGCTGGCACCAGGCCTGGCTCCCGTGACTCCCCTATCCACCCTGCTCTCCACTTTCTGGGGACTGGAATGAATGAAGTCTGTGATCTCGGTTTTCCCTAGAGTGCAACTGTGTTTCCAACAAGCCTTTCTAAGACTCAGTTTAATAGCAGCAACAGAACCAACCATCTGTGTCTGCTAATCACAGACCATGTCACTCATCTCAGAGCCTACCTCCCTGGCAGAGAGCCACATTCAAGGCAAGTACTCAATACTCAATACATGTGTGTACAATGAAATAACCATCATTAGGCCAGGTGGGGTGGCTCAGACCTGTAATCCCAGCACTTTGGGAGGCCAAGGTGAGTGGATCACCTGAGGTCAGGAGTTTGAGACCAGCCTGCCCAACACAGTGAAACCCCATCTCTTCTAAAAATACAAAAATTAGCTGGGCGTGGTGGCGGGTACCTGTAGTCCCAGCTACTCGGGAGGCTTAGGCAGGAGAATCTCTTGAACCCAGGAGGTGGAGGTTGCAGTGAGCTAAGATTACACCACTGCACTCCAGCTTGGGAAACAAGAGTGAAACTCTGTATCGAAAAAAAAAAAGGAAAGGAAACATGAGAATCATTTGCTATGTAACAAGGCCTTTGCAAAGCTTGCCCCACTTTTTGGCAGTTTATCTTTTAAGTCATAGCTGGGTGTCACTCCAGCAGGCAAAACTTCAACAGCCACTGAACAAGGTTGTCCTAGGAACTCCTAATGATGCTCATTCACCAAACCCTGTCCTTGCCCTTCATGTCACTAATCCCAGGAGCAATTACTGGTCTTCAAACTCTAATTCAGGGGGAAAAAATTTCAGGGGGTGGGGGAGGGAGAGGAGCTGAAATTGTGGCTGAGATGAAGGCCTGTGATTAAGACTATCTGTTATTGCCATCTCCCATCAGCAGTGAGGACAAGCTGCTCCTCAGCATTGCTAACCCATGCAACCCCATGGCCTGAGGCAGTGTTCAGATCTACATTGTCCACAGAGTCAATAAAGGTAAGAGCAGGTATCTTGTTAACCTGGAGTTAACAAGTGGGTGAGTGTTCTCTTCAATGTAAACAATGGGCAAAGGTGCATAATTCATCTTTATCCCTTTACTTATGCAAGACCTTTTTAGAGAAACAATTGGGCAACACTTCAAAGTAGAAGGCCTTCAGGGAGATGTTGAAATTAGTAGATAAACTGAGGGAAATGTTGAAATTAGTAGATAAACCGAACTCCCAATTTACAAGAGATGTAGAAGACAGAAGAATATTTGTTAAATTTTTGAGAATATTTGCCTCAGGGAGGGAGTCAGTAAGATCCAGACTACCCAAAGTCTACAAGACAAATGGCCTGTTTTCTCCAACAAATTAATTGCAAAGACCAAAAAAAAAAAAACAAACCCTAGAGTAACAGATTTAGAAGATACCAAGCAGGCATCCGTTTGGTGGCTCACACCTGTAATCCCAGGATTTTAGGAGGCTGAGGCAGGTGGATCATGAGGTCAGGAGTTTGAGACCAGCCTAACCAACATAGTGAAACCTTGTCTCTACTGAAAATACAAAAATTAGTCAGGCATGGTGGCGCCCACCTGTAATCCCAGCTACTCGGGAGGCTGAGGCAGGAGAATCACTTGAACCTGGGAGATGAAGGTTGCAGTGAGCCATCTCAAAAAAAAAAAAAAAAAGTTACTAATTACAAAACATTGACTAAATACCAGTGAATTTTTAAAAAACTTTTATAACATTTAAGAAAGCATTATAAATTTGGACACTGACTGGATTACTTGATTATTTGAGTTTAATTTTTTTTTTTTTTAGACAGTCTCACTCTCATCCAAGCTGGAGTGCAGTGTCACAATTATTTGACTATTTTTTATTTAAATTGAAAAAAGGACCCAGGCGCGGTGGCTCACGCCTGTAATCCCAGCACTTTGGGAGGCCGAGGCAGGTGAATCACCTGAGGTCAGGAGTTTGAGACCAGCCTGACCAACATGGTGAAACCCTGCGTCTAATAAAAAATTACAAAAATTTAGCCAGGTATGGTGCTGGGTGCCTGTAATCCCGCTACTGGGGAGGCTGAGGCAGGAGAATTACTTTAACCCGGGAGGGGGAGGTTGCAGTGAGCCGAAAATTGCTCGCACCACTGCACTCCAGCCTTGGTGACAGAGCAGGACTTGTCAAAAAAAAAAAAAAAATCAGAAAAAGATGTAAGCCTGGGCAACATGGCAAAACCCTTGTCTCTCCAAAAAGTACAAAAATTAGCGATGCCTGTGGTCCCAACTAGTCAGAAGGATGAAGTGGGAAGACTGCTTGAACCCAGGAGGTCAAGGCTGCAGTGAGTCAAGATCACACCACTGCACTCCAGCCTGGGCAACAAAGTAAGACCCTGTCTCAAAAAACACACAAAACAAACAAACCCCATACATTTAGGGGGTATAACTGCAGTTTTGTTACATGGATATACTGCACACTGGTGAACTCTGTTTTTAGTGTACCCATCACCTGAACACTATACACTGTACCCATTAGAAAATTTCTCTCTCTTCACTTGCCTACCACCTTTTCATGTCTCCAAGGCCAATTATTCCACTATGCCCATGTCATTTTTTGAATTATTATTTTTTGAGGTGGAGTCTCACTGTCGCCCAAGCTGGAGTGCACTGGCGTGCTCTGAGCTTACTGCAACCCTCACCGCCCGGGTTCAAGCAGTTCTCCTGCCTCAGCTTCCCAAGTAGCTGGAATTAACAGGCATGCATCACCTTGCCCAGCTAATTTTTGTATTTGTAGTAGAGACGGGGTTTTGCCATGTTGCCGAGGCTGGTCTCAAACTCCCGACCTCAAGTGATCCACCCACCTCCGCCTCCCAAAGTGCTGGGACTAAAGGCGTTAGCCACTATGCCCAGCTTTTTTTTTTTTTTTTTTTTTGAGACAGAGTTTCGCTCTCGTTGCCCAGGCTGGAGTGGTGCAATGGCACAATCTAGGCTCACAAGAACCTCTGTCTCCCAGGTTCAAGCGATTCTCCTGCCTCAGCCTCCCAAGTAGCTGGGATTACAGGCATGCGCCACCCAGCCCGGCTCATTTTGTATTTTTAGAAGAGACAGGGTTTCTCCATGTTGGTCACGCTGTTCTTGAACTCCTGACCTCAGGTGATCTGCCCACCTCAGCCTCCCAAAGTGCTGGGATCACAGGCGTGAGCCACCACACTTGGCCTGCCCTATTTTTTAAATTAGTGTTAATTTTTTCAAGTACGATTCCTAGGCATTGTGTTTATTTTTATTTTATTTTATTTTAGAGATGGAGTCTCACTCTGACACCCAGGCTGGAGTGTAGTGGTGTGATCTCCACTCACCACAACCTCCATTTCCTGGGTTTGAGTGATTCTTGTGCCTCAGTCTCCTGAGTAGCGGGGATTACAGGTATCCACCACCACATACAGCTAATTTTTATATTTTTAGTAGTTGGCCAGGCTGGTCTTAAACTCCTGACCTCAAATGATCCACCCACCTCAGCCTTCCAAAGTGCTGGGATTACAGGTGTGAGCCACCGTGCCAGGCCAGTACCGTATGTATGTATTTTTTCTTTAAAGACAGAGTTTCACTCGTATTGCCTGGGCTGGAGTGCAATGGTGGGATCTTGGCTCACTGTGACCTCTACCTCCTAGGTTCAAGTGATTCTCCTGCCTCAACCTCCCGAGTAGCTGGGATTACAGGCACCCACCACCACACCCAGCTAATTTTTTAGTATTTTTAGTAGAGACGGAGTTTCATCATGTTGGCCAGGCTGATCTTGAACTCCTGACCTCAGGTGATCCACCCACCTTGGCCTCCCAAAGTAGTGGGATTACAGGCATAAGCCACAGTGCCTGGCTATTTATATATATTTTTTGATACGGAGTTTCGCTCTTGTTGCCCAGGCTGGAGTGCAATGGCGAGATCTCGGCTCAATGCAACCTCTGCCTCCTGGGTTCCAGCGATTCTCCTGCCTCAGCCTCCCAGGTAGCTGGGATTACAGGCATGCACGACAACACCCAGCTCATTTTGTAATTTTAGTAGAGACGGGGTTTCATCATGTTGGCCAGGCTGGTCTCAAACTCCTGACCTCAGGTGATCTGCCGGCCTCAGCTTCCCAAAGTGCTGGGATTACAGGCATGAGCCACCGTGCCTGGCTATTTATTTTTTTGATACAGAGTCTCGCTCTGTCACCCAGGCTGGAGTGAAATGTCGAGATTTTGGCTCCCTGCAACCTCTGCCTCCTGAGTTCAAGTGATCCTCCTGCCTCAGCCTCCCAGGTAGCTGGGATTACAGGCATGCACTACAACACCCAGCTCATTTTGTAATTTTAGTAGAGAACGGGTTTCACCATTTTGGTCAGTCTGGTCTTGAACTCTTGACCTCAGGTGATCTGCCCACCTGGGCCTCCCAAAGTGCTGGGATTATTTATTTAAAAAAAAAAAAAAAAAAAACGCACCAAAACATTTATTCAAGATAATATGGGGGAATTTCTTCCATACAATATTACTCTGTGTGGGATTAACTTCAAAATAGAATGGGATAAGGACATAGGTAGACATATAGATTGGCAGTGAGTGGACAATCACTGATGATGATTAATGAGCAGCCAGGAGTTGCTTGCTGACTCTGGGGGATGGGTACATGGATATTTACTATTTGATTATTCTCTCTAAGTTTGCATTTGGAATTCTCCATAATATGAAGCTAAAGATGACTAAATCACATGTGCCATCCCCCTGCTACTTTATAAGTATAGACAATCACTCCTACAGTCCACACAGGCCGGCTCCCCACCTTTAGGGCTAGAAAAGTGTAAGATGCAGCTACGCACAGCTGGAAGGGTTCCCCAGGCAGGTTCAGATTTGGAGACAACTGAAGCAAACGCTCTGTGTGAACACACACACATACATAAGGAGTCCCACCCACTGACCCCAGTGCAGCCCCCTCCCTGGATCGTACCCCTCCCTGGCTCGTACCCCTCTTCTGTGCGAAGAGCAGCAGCAGGCAGGTGAGACCTTTGAGCACTTCTGCCATGACCACAGCAGTGGTGGCAAAGAAGCGGTCCCCAGGCAATGTGCGGGCGTAGCGGATGCTGAGGATGAGGGAGGCATTCTGGACCACCAGCACGGCTAGGGATATGTACTTCAGGCGCCTATGAGCTGTGGGGAATGGAAGGAGCAAGGGGTAAGGGAGGGGTCAGAAGCCACTGGGGCACAGCCACACCACCACCCACCCCCTCTACTTTGTCACCCAGGACCCTCCTAGCCACCGCTACTTGCTCCCTTAGCCTGCATGCCCTCACCCAATGAAAGTCTGATTCCTAACAGCTTACTACCTCAGCCATGAGCAGGAAGAGCCAGAAGGGAGAAATGGGCCCCACCCTGTCCAGTCTATACCTGGAACCCTTACCGAGGTGTCAGGAATGGCTGAGGTAAACCCTGGCCGTGTGCCTTGGCTCCCTCCCAAGTGAGAAGCAACTCTTCCCCAGGCAGAATACTGACAATTACATTCTCCATGTTTATTGTTCATGTGTACCTATCACTGGGTTAAGGGATTTCTATGGATTACTTCAAGAGACTCTCATATCTTTCTCATCTCTAAAATAACTGCAAGGATTCCCATTTTATGGATGAGCAAACTGAGGATTTATATGAAATGATGCTCCTATTTAACGAGGGACTGGCCCATGTAAAGAATAAATCAGTGCAGGGAATGACGCCACTGTATGAGGTATGTTCACCCCCTAAGGACTGGTCATTCTCCCATCTAAGAAATTATTTGATTCCCTCACACTCAGAATGGCCTATATCACATATGGAATGATCCTCCTCATACTCAGAATGGTCTCTCCAACCCCTCCCTCCTGTGACAACTGGTTCCTCCTGACCCGGAATAATCTACTAAATATAAGAATTGATTTCCCCATGCTCCCAGGGACTGAATCCTGCATCAGAAATGGTTATCCCACTAAGAATGGTCTGGCTCCCTCAAACAGATGAGGACATATTTCCCTGCACTCCAAAGGGACCATCCTCCCACCACCGCACACCGACCCTCTAGCTAATGAACTTTTCCTTGCTCTACCCACACTCACAATTAGCTCTCTCTGCTGTAAGGAAGGACCCGGCACCCTCAGAATGTTCTTTCTCCACCATATAACGATGAGCCCTCCACCCGAATGTACAACGATCTCTACCTCCATTAGGAAGGGAGCCCCCAGCACGATCTTCTCTGCACATAATGAAGGACATCCCCATCCTCAAAATGGACCCTCTCTAGTCATATAAGGAAGGAGTCGACCTACCCTCAGAATAGTCTCTGTCCCTTTATAAGGAAGGAACCACCACCCTCAGAATAGTCTCTCCCTTCAACGAAGAACTCCCACACCCGCAGAATGGTCTCTTCCACACGGAAGGACCCCACACATTCAGAATGGTTTCGGTGGCCTTAGCCTCCCCAAAAAGAAATACCCTCCACACTGACAATGGTCTCTACTCTCCATATGCGGAGGGATCCCACAATCAACCTCACAATGTTCTCTTCCCCGCCCCCAACACACTCACAAGGTGCGCGCGCGCGCGCACACACACGTCGGACCACACGGGATGCTCCTTCTCACTTTAGTAAGGACCATTCCCAACTCCTAACAATCGTGACCTCTGCCTCCACGCCACTGCTCGGCCGCAGACTGTCTCACCGGCACTCGCGGTCCCCGGCTCCAATACACCCGCGGAAACCACCCCTGGCCCGGCCGCTGCGGTGGAACCACCAGCCCCAACTGCTGCCATGTTGGCATCTGCCCGGCCCGTCCCCTCGGCAACAGTAGGCTACTTCCGTGTTCGTCACTTCCGCTTCCGGACCACCTGAGTGAAGGTGGGGTAAGAGCCAGGATATTCAGGGTGGTAGTGGCTTTCCTTGTCCGCTCCTAAAAGCTGAACGTAAGAGTAGCCCCAGGACTTCCAAATTCTGTCGGATCGGGATGCAGGGTACATGGCCCGCTCGGCCTACCCACCGTCCCTACTCAGCTTCACTGGCCCTTTCCCGTCATTAGATCCGCCTTGTCTTGGCGTTCGCGTCCGGTCCGCTCGTTGCACTTTACAGATCACCCCGCAATCCTGTCTCCTAGTCTCATTGGCTCAATCACCCTTTTCATCTCGGCCTTTTATTGGCAGATTCTCTAGAAGACACCGCCCTTTCCGCATCAAAAACTCCCAGGTGCTTCCTGGTTGGACTGAAGTTCCGCTTTCCCGTTCCCCAGGAAGGTCCCGCCCTGGAGAGCACACGGGAATCTAGGGACGAAGACTCTTTGACCTGGCCGGAGCGGGTGAGGGCATACAGGCTGAAGCATCAGGTGAGAGTCAGGCATGTGAACTAGCAGATAAAAGCAGAGCAGGTGACAAGTGAGTCACCATTGAGGATGGCAAAGGAGACAGATGAAAGGCTCACAGGTTAGCTAGCATTTGGAAGCAGGGCAGGAGACCGGGCCGGGGGCGATGGCTTACGTCTATAATCCCAGCACTTTGGGAGGCCATCTGGCAGATCGCCTGAGTTCGGGAGTTCCAGCCTATGGTGAAACCCCATCTCTACTAAAAATAATTAGCCAGGTGTAGTGGTGTGCACCTGTACCCAGCTACTTGGGAGGCTGAGGCAGGAGAATCGCTTGAATCCCATCTCAAATTTTAAAAATGAAAGCAGAGCAAGAGGGGACAGCTGAGGGTAGAACAAGTGAAATCAAGATGGGATAGGGCAGGCCAGGTAGTCAAGTGTTAAGGAGAAACGGGAAGGATGAGTAGTATGTAAGGGTAAAGATGGGGGAAGAGGTTAAAGATAAGAGTAAAACCGGTGACTGCACCCTGCACATCAGTAGACAAGAGCTACAAGATTACAGTCAACACCCAACTCCAGCCCTGCCTTCACCAGTACCCTGATAGGCTTTTCTTCTCCAACAGGGAAAGGGCTTCTTTCCTCCCCATGAGTGTCAGGGAAGGTATTCGCCCAGGCTGGAGTGGTGTGGTAAGATACTGGCTTATTGCAGCCTCCACCTCCTAAGTAGCTGGGACTACAGGGGTGTACCACCATGCTCAGTTTTTTGTATTTTTAGTAGAGACGGGGTTTCACCATGTTGGCCAGAAGGGCCTCGATATTCTGACCTCGTGATCCACCATACCAGCCGGAGGGGTAGTTTTTTCTGCTACTGAGATGGCCATCTTGATTGGGGATGTGCCCTAAACACCTTCAATATGCACAGTATCTCCAACAGAGAGCCCTTCTGCATGTACTGGACATGGCATAAAATAATGGACAGGGAAAATCAAGTTTTTTTTGTGTGGTGCAGCTTCCAGAACCCTTAAAGCTCTTTAGGATGGCAAGACAAGACTGGTTCCATGAGGACAAAGCTGACAAGTCTGTCTCAGCGCACAGTAGATGCTCCATAAAAGTCTCGCACCTACAAATGGCCAGCCGCTTCTAATTCTATTACTTTTATTAAATAGTGGGTTTCCACACATGGCTTTTTAAATAATCCAGGCAGGGGGAGAAGAGAGGAGAGCACACTTGGGACTCCCCTCCCCACAATACGTGATTATTTACATTTTAGCAATTGGACAATCCCGGCTCAGGAGAAGGTTGCAAGAAATCTGCTAAAGTTGGAGGGGGCGCCCCAGGAGAACAAACAGCAAGCCTTATTTCCCCTAGCCCATCCCCCAAAAAACCATCCATCCCATCCTAGTGTCTGGTGGGGTCCGGTGGTGTCCATCTCCCATTCTTTCCCAAATTCGGAAGTAAGGTTCTTCTCACCAGAATAAGAGCACTTCGGATAACAGAATAGGATCACCTCACCAAAAAAAAAAAAAAAAAAAAAAAAAAAAAAAAAAGCCTTGGAGTAAAAACAGTGGATTACCTCCCCCAGAATAAGGAATCCCGGGCTGAGGCAGGGTAAGCAGCTTGACCCAATATGGGACCCTAGGCCAGGGGAAAGGGTCCCTTTGCTAAAATAAAAGCTACTGGGGTATTGGAAGGAAAGCACCCTTGCCCAAGTAAGAGCATATGAAGGAAGTTTGTGTGATGGTAGGAGGAGGTGCCAATGTAGGGGTGACATGTCATCAGAATGAGTCCCGGGGCTCAGAATGGGGACTTCACCCGAAATAAAACATCGTTAGCAAAATTAGAAACAAGAAGTTCCCCCTCCAGAATCAGGGACCACAGGTTCTGGAAGAAAGCTTCTTTGTAGGATTGGGAAGGGAACTGGGCAGACTTGGCTTATGTCTTCTAACCCCTGATCCTCAATCCCTTACCTCAGTAATACTGGACTTTAATGACCGGTAATGACCTGTAAAACCAAGTCAACAAATGTCCATCTATCCCTGTGACATGGCCATGGGATGGCTCTTCCCACCATTGGGGGCCAGGCCAGGCTTAGGGTAGCAAAGACCAGGCCAAAGGGGTGGGCCCTCCTTTTGGGGGGTTGAGGGGTGCATCCTCGGCTGGCATTTGCATCCAGGGGTCCAGCAGGATCTCCTCCAGTGAGGGTCGGGAAGAAGGTTTGGGGGCCAGGCACCGGCGGATTAGGGCACAGCAGTCTGTGGGCCAAGAAGCACAGGGAAGATTAGCACTCAGTAGCAGGTACCGGTCCCTGAGAGGGATGGTCTTCTGGGCCGGGATTAGTGAGGCCTCACCTGGGGAGACATGGGCAGGGAAGTGAAGCTCAGCTTCCAGAATTTCCTGGTCCCTCTCGAAGGGAATGTCCCCACACACCATGTCATAGAGGAGGATACCAAGTGACCAGACAGTGGCTGGGAGTGCATGGTACTGGTGTCGAGAGATCCACTCTGGGGGGCTGTACACCCTTGTCCCTGCACACAAGCCAGGGGTTAGACCACTCTCTCTCATGATGCCTTTCTGCAATCCCAAACTTCCCAGGACAGATGGCCCCATTACCACAATTAAGAGCACTCAATACAAAAGCAGAGTCCCCTCACTACATAAAGAGCAGCTAAAATAGCAGAGTCCCCTCAACAGAATAAAAGCAATGAAAAGTAACAGGATCCCCTTACCAGAGAAAAGAATACTCAGGATAGTAAAAGGATCCCCTCACCAGAATAAGAGTCCAGAACAAAGTTAGGGCACCATTAGAAGATGGACTTTATCGGAGGGCAAGGCTAAGAATCCCCAGTATTAGAACTGATCATCTATCTTATATAGATACAGTATAGGTCAAGGATTATAGGACACCCCACCACTGGAGGCCAGAAGTCACAAGGCCATCAAGTAAAAACAATCCCTCCAGTGAGATTTAGAGAAGCCTTACCATCAAAGTCAGTGTAGGGTTCATCATGAAGCAGGGCACCAGAACCAAAATCAATGAGTTTGGCACAGCCACGGCGTAGGTCTATCAGGATGTTCTCATCCTTGATGTCACGATGGACAACTCCACGGGCATGGCAGTGCTGGATGGCTGCCACTACTTGGCCAAAGAAGCAGCGGCTTGGGCCTTCACCCAGCGGGCCCTTCTCTGTGATATAGTCAAAGAGATCCTGGGCGGGCAAAGGCCGCTCGAGGACCAGCATGAAGCCCTCTTGTGTCTCAAACCAGTCAAGCAGGCGGATCACGCCAGGGTGCCCACCACCTGCACCCACTTTCCATAGCAGTGCCACTTCGAGTGGGCATGTGACTGAGTCTGACTGGGGGCACAGGTGGGGTGGGAAGCAGGGAGAGAAAAAAGACAGATGTCAGGCCAACAGCTCTGAGGCTGACTTTTTCCTAAGGTCAAATCATGGCCTCTTGTTCTCCTGACAGTGTGTCCTTGAGCAATTCACTTCCCTTTGTGGGCTTCACTTTCCCTAAAGACACAAACTCACACAGGGATTGGGAGGGTGAATCCAGCAAAGAGCCTGCACACATCTTGCATGTAGTAGATCAACACATTTGAATAAATGAAAGTAGCCAGGCGTGGTGGGGCTCATGCCTATAATCCCAGCACTTTGGGAGGCTGAGGCGGGCAGATCACAAGGTCAAGAGATCGAGACCGTCCTGGCCAACATGGTGAAACCCCGTCTCTACTAAAAATACAAAAGTTAGCCGGGCATGCTGGCCCGCGCCTGTGGTCCCAACTACTCGGGAGGCTGAGGCAGAAGAATCACTTGAACCCAGGAGGCGGAGGTTGCAGTGAGCTGAGATTGCGCCACTGCACTCCAGCCTGGTGACAGAGCAAGACTCCGTCTCAAAAAAAAAAAAGTAATTCAGCCAGGCACAGTGGTTCATGCCTATAATCCCAGCACTTTGGGAGGCTGATGCAGGTGGATCGCTTGAGCCCACAAGTTCAAGATCAGCCAGGGCAAAAGGGCAAGACCCCATCTCTACACAAAAATTTGCCAGGCTTGGTGGCATGCACCTGTCCCAGCTACTTGGGAGACTGAGGTAGGAGGATCACTTGAGCCCAGAAAGCAAAGGTTGCAGTAAGCCAAGATCGCACCACTATACTCCAGTCTGGGTAACAGAGAAAGACTGTCTCAAAACGAACCAAAACAACAACAACAACAAACTGGTTATTAACAAAAGGTCTTCAGCAGAAGCAGCACCATTATGTAGCGTTTTATGTTTTGTTCCCTGACATATCCCAGATTAGAATAGTACCTTACACAGTAGGTGCTCAATAAATGTTTGTTAAACAGATGAAAGTACTTGATAGCATAGACTCTGACAAGCAGTTAGCACTCAATAAACAGTTATTGTGTAATGGTTTGTTTTGTTCACAGACAGACGTATCTGAAGCACAACAGTGCCTGCTAACGAAGTAGGGCTGAATAAATATTTTGTTAAACAGGTAAAAACAATTAGTAAAAAAGGACCTAGCACAAAATGAGCTCTCAGTAACTATTACGTAGTAATTTGCTGAGTGTCTAGAATTATGTCTGTCATATAGTAGGTGGTCCATATACCTTTGTTAAAAAGCTGAGTGATTAATTGCAAAGGACTTAGCACAAAAGTACTTAGTGTTTTTTTGTCAGCAGCACCAAGCACCTAGAACCAGTCAATAAAAAGCATAAATGCAGCGGGGCGCGGTGGCTCAAGCCTGTAATCCCAGCACTTTGGGAGGCCGAGACGAGTGGATCACGAGGTCGAGAGATGGAGACCATCCTGGTCAACATGGTGAAACCCAGTCTCTACTAAAAATACAAAAAAATAGCTGGGCATGGTGGCGCGTGCCTGTAATCCCAGCTGCTTGGGAAGCTGAGGCAGGAGAACTGCCTGAACCCAGGAGGCGGAGGTTGCGGTGAGCCGAGATTGCGCCATTGCACTCCAGCCTGGGTAACAAGAGCGAAACTCGTCTTAAAAAAAAAAAAAAAAATACAAACAGCCGGGCGTGGTTTTGCGCTCCTATAGTCCCAGCTACTCGGGAGGCTTAGGGAGGAGAATCGCTTGAACCCGGGAGATGGAGGTTGCAGTGAGCCGGGATCGCACCACCGCACTCAGGCCTGTTAAGACAGAGGGAGACTCTGTCTCAAAAAGAAAAAAAAAGAAGGTATAAATGCTACTGGCTACAAAATCCGCTCCACAAGCCCTGAGCAGGCACACTTCGAGCGGCAACCTTCTAGGCTGAGGTAGAGCCCTCTCCTGGCCAGGCTGCTGACTTGCACAGCAACAGACTTTCTCACAGAGATGCAAAAATTCTGGTATAGCGCAGGCGCATCGTCTCCTGGGTCCCACGGACTGCGCAGGCGTAGTTTCCCCTAGAGTCCGCCAGGGGGCGCTCCCAGCTCTACAACTCGCCCAGACCCGCCCTGATGTCCGTTAGCGCTACAATGGCCGGAGAGAAGCAGCCACCATCACCATGGCAACCAGTGACCTCTGCCCCGCGTTCCCCACCAGCATGCTCTGCGGGCAGTCCTCCAGCAGTGTTTGGAGGATGGAAAAGGATTGTTCAAAGGGAGACTCCAGGGCTCTAGGGGAATTGGGGTGAATCAGAACTGTATGTCACCCCAAGGGAGTAAACATGGGCTGGAAGGAGTGTTCTTACTGTTACAGGGCCCAGGGAGTCATACATCCCCTGGAAAACCAAGGGGGTCAATTCATTATCAGTGATGGATAGGTCTGGAAGGGCTCCAAAAGTACTCACCAAGGGGGACCAGGCCAGCACACGATTCCGGGGAATCACTTTGATGGCCACCTGGAGAAGAGGGCCGTGATAAGGAGGCCAGCAGGTGATCCCCAGACCCCTCCCAGTCTAGACCTTCTGCCCACCTCCAGTGCTCTTCCATCCACCAGCACTCTAATCTTTCTGGTCCCCAACCACACCATCCCACACAACCCGTACCAGGGCGTCTCCTCTGCCCTCGAAGTCTCCGGAACCAAGTTCATCTCTCCCACCCTCCTCAGCCCTGGGCTCTCCGTTCTCAGGCATCAGTACTCATCACTCCTCATCACTCCAAGTCCTGAGTTCTAGATTTCCTAATACCCCAGGCCCACAATCTTCCTATTTAGCTCTACGATACCCCAACTCTGTACCAGAGTCCTGGTCCGCATGACTCCACACTGGACACCTACCTCCAAAAATCCCATAAATCTCACATCTAGGTCCCCCCGCTTTCCCACATACACAGCCTGGACCCTGGGAGTCGAGGACTTCCAGAAATCCTTGCCTTGAAGCCCCCTACCCTCCACACACAACCCCCTAGACCGACACACAAACACACACACCCCTGGTCCTCAACACACTGCAGGCTCACTCTTCGGACACACACACACACACACACACACACACACTTGGTCCTCTACACACTCTGCAGGCTTAGTCCATCAACCAGCATTCCATGCCCAGGACCCCCGACCCCGACACACGCACCTGACCCTCCCAAAGACCCTCGTGATGGATACCTGGAGTCGATCTGTGACGCGGTGTCCTGCGAAGACGGTGCCAAAGCCCCCCTTACCCAGGAGGGGGCCGAGTCGGTACTCGGCCTCGAACGCTTCCCGATCCTTGCCTCCTACGCAGGCGGAGGCAAGGAAGTCAGGGTGGCGGCGTGCTGAGCCCAGCCACGACTGCCTCCCCACCGCCCTGCAATCCATCATTCCAGCCAACCCAGTCTGGTTGCAGTAGGGGAGAATGCGCTCACCTGGCGGCGGCGTGGGGGTCACCGGGGGCGCGGGAGGCCCCTGCAGAGGCTTGGTCAACATGGAGGATGCACCGCGCAGATTGAGCCCGCTGAACCCGCTAAGCCCGCAGGGCGTGGACGCCCGGGGCAGCGCAGCTGGGGAGCCAGGGCTGGGGGGCGCCAGGGTGGAAGACAGAGAAACTGGTGGCCCGGAAGCGCCCGCAGACGGCGCAGCCTTAAGATTCGCCGCGCGCGCCAGCCCCAAAGCTACTGAGCCGGGGCACGCGCCTCCCGGGAGAGTCACCCTGGGCGACAGCCCCGCCCACCTGGCTTTGATCAATCCGGACGCGGCACCTGCTGTACCACAGCCAATCGGAGCCAGTTCTTATTTGCATACCACCCTCTTCATTTCAAATGCCCCCTTATGCAAATACACGCTCGTTCTTCCGAGGAGGCGGGGCCTGCACGTAAATGAAGGGGCTCGAGGTGGGACTCACACCAAGAGGAAACCGGTTCTGGGAATCCTTTTGCAGCAACCGCGCTTGTTTTGGTTGTTGCTGGTAGTGGTGGTGGTGTGTGTATTTACACTTAAAAAATAACTGCGCAGTATCCTTTCCCGGGAAGTTGGTTTGCCGCCGCTGCCTCGAAATTAGCACAGAGATAGCGCCAGCCGGGCTTTTAAGAATTCGAGCCTGTGGCTATCCAGGACCCCGTCTCGAAAGGCGCTTGCCATCCTTCACCGAAGTCCTCCAGGAGACTGGTGGCCTTCACTGGAAAGCTGAAACCAGGGCCCTAGAAAAATCTGGTAGCCAGGGAGGGGGAAACCCCGCCATCACCAACACGGGTGTGCATTGGTCACAGGCAACATTTCCCATGGCTTAAGACTGCTGCGGAGTGTTTATTGGAGTTTTTAACCCGGAGCCCTGAGCCCAGTCAGCAGGTCTAGAATCTAGAACAGCAGGGGGTGGTTCTTGGGGGATGGGGGTGAGCCCAGGGTGGTGGTGGCATTGGGCTGCACTTGGAGTTGAGAGAGGCAAGGGCTGAGAGACATGATAGAGGCTGCTAGAGAAGTGGCAACTCTAGTACACAAATTTGTGAAAAACAGCCAGAGAAGGTGCCACACCTCAGGAAGAAAAATGCACTCCCAAGACACATGAACGCCAAGATATACACAAACATACTGTCATATTCACGGAAACGACCTAGATACACATGCAGCCATGCGCTATGATACATAGATTGACCATACACTTTCAGGCAGGCACACTGTTAGAAAAATAGTTACGTCCCAGAATGACACCCAGAGACACAGTTACAGAAAGGCATTCATGCAGACCTACACTGGCCATGTGATGACACAGAAATGTCCCCTCAAACACACTGACAGAACTTGTCACAAACGCTGGCACCATCAGACATGCACTATCACAGCAAGACTTGTACTGTCCCAGAAATGAGACACAGAGTCTGTCACAGGAAGATACACAGATGCTCCCGAGACACACGTGCACTGCTCTGAAGGCAGACATGTACTGATGTGACAGAGCCGCATTTCGTGACAGTGTTACAAAAACAGGCATGGATAGACCTGTTCAGGCACAGACACACATACACCATCATACATGCAGCTTATCAATGGAACAAACTGTCCAAAAATAGCTATCCAGAATCTGTTGCAGGAACACAAACGGACATCTACCCCATCAGACAGAAACAACAGATGCCCTGTCACAGACAGACCCACACAGGCATGCACGCATCTTGGATTTAGACACAAACTCTCAGAGTCCCACACTCAGTCACCATCTGACACACCTGGAAACAAGCCCTCATCACACACACAACTGGAGACACTCGGTGAACTGTACATGAAGACTTGGACTCGCCAGTCACACAGACAACACCAAAAAAGCATACATGTACTCTCCTTTGTTCACCCAACATTATTAGGGGTTTACTAAAAGCCTTGCAAGCCTTGGTGGGGATGTTGATATTACAGATGCACAAATAAGTCAGGCATCAAACCTGTGTCATGCAGTTTATCTGTAGTAGTTACTGAGGAAATTTTTAGATAGAAGTGAGAATGTCCTGCCGGGTGTGGTGGCTCATGCCTGTAATCCCAGCACTTTGGGAGGCTGAGGTGGGTGAAACACCTGAGACCAGGAGTTCGAGACTAGCCTGGCCAACATGGTGAAACCCCATCTCTACTAAAAATACAAAAAAAAATAGCTTGAACCTGGGAGGCGGAAGTTGCAGTGAGCCGAGATCCACACCACTGCACTCCAGGATGGCAACAGACACTAAAAAAAAAAAAAAAGAATGTGAATGGGCTTCTCAGCAGGTGCGCTGCTACCTATCTTGAAAGACAAAGGTTGGTGGCTCAGGACAGGAGAGGGCAAATTGCAGGCAAAGGCCAAGAAAACTGGATAAAGTGGCAAGAAATTGGTAGGGGCCAAATGGTACAGAAACTTCTACAAAAATAACACATTTGCACCCTCCAAATGTGCCAGGCACTGTGCCCAGTAGTACGTTACTTTCTTTGACCATGCCTATTCCCTCTCGATGATCACAAGCAGACAGCATGAGGGAGTAGTCATCTTTTTTTTTTTTGAGACAGTGTCTCTGTCACCCAGGCTGGAGTGCAATGGTGCAGTGTCAGCTCACTGCAACCTCCTTGCCACAAGCTCAAGTGATTCTCATGCCTCAGCCTCCCATGTGGCTGGGATTACATGTGGGCACAACCACGCCTTGCTAATTTTTGTATTTTTAATAGAGATGGGTTTTTCCATGTTGGCCAGGCTAGTCTGAAACTCTTGATCTCAGGTGATTCACTCACCTCAGCCTCCCAAAGTGCTGGGATTTTAGGCGTGAGTCATTGTGCCCGGCCTAATCACCCCTCTTGTACAGATGAGACACTTGAAACTCAGAGAAACTATGAACTGACCAAGGCCACACAGCTAGAAAATGCCAGGAAAGGTTTCAAAGCAACTCTACAACAAATGGATGCTTGGCCATTGGGTTCCAGAGATACTCTGCGGCCAGCCACTCAGCTGGCCATGCCCTCGACTGCAGAACCAGACATACATCCTGCCAGAGGGTCTCCATAAAAGATGCTTGAGAAAACCTAGAGGTCAGCCAGCCTTCTCTACCTTGGATCTACCCCTAGGGAGGGCAGGGAAAGAGGTGTCAGAGGACTAGGGGACAGGAACAAAGAAGGATTTAGCCATCCTTCACCTTCTAGAACCCACTGGGGGAGGCCCCTCTGGTTACTTCCACTAAACTCGTGTTGCCACAAATGATCAGTTGTGCTTTTCCAGGGCTTTTCTTCAACAGATCATGGGAAGGAAAGAGCAACATTCATGGCTAGAGGCAGGCGGAGAAGCTGGAATTCAGGCAGGAAGTTCAAGCTCATAGTCCTCTGCTACCATCACACCCCAGGAAATAGGATAGGCAGGGGTGGGGTCAGCAGGCAAAGATGCAGCTTTTCCAGTGGTAATAGAAGGAGGTTTAATAAGCAGCAAATCAAATACAAACTCCAGGCCCCCAGACAGACCCTGCTGGAGAAGATTCACACCTCTGAGGTCAAGCCAAGGTCCATGCCATTCCCTCCTCTGCCCAGAAGTCCGCCCAACCCCTGCCCCACACAGAACAGAGCCGCTCAGGGAAACTGACATTTGGTTTTATTGTGCCAAGGACATTACAGATGGTGGATCTTGTCAACACCTGCAGGGCACGGGTGCCCCATCTGCCAAGGCTGCTCCCACACTTGCTACACTCAAATCCCGGGTGGCAGCCATGATCCCCAAAGATGCCCCCCCACCCCAAGATTCCAAAGAGACTAGTGGTGGTGGAAGCAAAAGGAATGCAGCAAGGTCAGGGTTTCATTGTCCAAGCTGGCCTGACACCTGCTGCCCTGCCCAGTGCACAACCTTGGCCCTGGGCCTGCCTCCATGCAGCTGGAGGCTAGAAGACAGCAACCCACATCTTTTCACCCCCCTCCATGCCCCATGACCTGCCTGGCCAGAAAGATGCCACCTTCACAGACCCAGTGCTGTCATCTATATCATTTTTGATTAGTTAATTTCATAAGATAAAAGTACATTTTCATAAAGAAAAAAATTCAAGATCAAAGGCTCAGACATTCTTGGGGTACTGGAAAGGGAAATTTCCCACTTCTTCCTCCCACATCCCTGGCATCAGTGTGGGGGGGGGCAGCAAGTTTTTCTCATCTTGGAAGGAATGAGGGGCAGGGAGACTTTCCCCTGTCTGAATGTCTCTCTCCTCTGGGGCTGCCTGGCTGCCAGTTGGTCTGTCTCTGTGTACCTCTTGTCTATCTTCGGCACCCTTGCCCGAGTCCCCTGTGGAATGCAGGGATGGTGCTATGCAGGGTGGGGGGCAACAGGGCACGTCAGCTGGCAGAGAGACAGGTGATAGTGGCAGCAGCAATGAGAGGGAACACAGGGGTGGGCTAGCCAGAGGGAAGTGAGGAGGAGGGAAAAGAGGGGAGAGCAGAAGAACAGAAGGAGGCAAGAGGGGAGAAGCCAAAGAAGGTTGAGGCGGCACCAGAGGGCAGGAGTGCTAGGGTTGAGAGATGGTGTCCAATCCCTGGGTCTCCATCAACTCTTATCTGGGGGCGGGTCTCTGTGCACTTTGTTTTTCTTCATACTGTCTAGGTATTCCTGTTGGGACACTGCCAGCACCGATGCTAGGATGTCATCATCATCCCAGTCATTCAGACCTGCTGGGCGAGAGGAAGAGAAAAAGGATGATGGAGTGCTCTCAGCCTGCCTTCTCCTCACCCTGTGCCAGAATCCAGGGCTCTGGAGAAATCCCATAAGGCCCTTCTCACTCCTTTCTTAAAACAGAAGGATCCGCTAGGCCTGTGAAATCCCACTTAGATCCCAGGCCCCTTCTGTGGAAAATTCCTTGGGCCTGAAAAATCCCCTCCAGCACCTCTCTCTTCTTTTCTTGGTGAGATGTCCAGAGGCTCCAGAAACCCCCTCTCAGGACTTGCCGCTTTTTCTAGTGTCTCCGAGCTCCTAGTAGCCTCCATCCCCCCATACAAAGGAGGCTTACCAAAGGCAGAGGGGGACATCTGCTGAATGAGGGCCCGGCACTCCAAAGCAGGGTAGAGGGACACAAGGGGGGAAGTTGCCCGGTCGGCCCCTGCCGAGAACTGACTGCTTGTACCTGAAGCAGACGGACAGTCAAAGGTAGGGACCCAGGACCCAGGACCCAGGACCCAGGATCCAGGATCCAGGACCCAGGACCCAGGACCCAGGATCCAGGACCCAGGACCCAGGACCCAGGACCCAGGCAGTGCCTCCTAACCCCCAGCACATTCCCTGTGAGCAAGTCACTGACCTGGCGCACAGGGTGAAGGAGGTTTGGCAAGAGCTAAGACAGTGCCTGGGGAAGGGGGCTTGATGCCCAGCTCAGCATGCAGCTCAGGATGCTCAGGTGATGAGGCTGAACTCCGCTGCCGTGGGGACCGGCTAGTCCACTCCTCCAGGCCACTGGAGGCTGCTGCTGTGGCCGAACTGCATGTGGCACTGGCTTTCCGGGGCTGCAGTGGGGAAGGAAAATGCAGTAAGGATGACCAACAGTCATGACCCTCCTGTGACCCATCCCTGAATGCTGGCTCCCTTCCCAGGACCTTGGCTATGATATAGCTTCTACATAGGTCATCATCATCCCCTCTCACACGGTGGACCACAAGGCTCCTCGCAGGACAGAGGTGGAGCTCCTTACCCTCTCTCTCACATCCCTACAGCCAATCTGACAGGAAACCCTGTTACCTCTATCTTCAAAATAGACCCAAATCCAACCCCTTCTCACCATGTCCACTGCCAGCACTGGAACCGGTCACCTGGCCTACTGCAGCAGCTTCCTCCTCGCTGGCCCCTGCTTCTGCCCTCACCTGCCAGACTCCACTGGATGACTAGCAGGCAAGGGGATCTTGTTAAATCCCCAACCACATCCTGTCATTCCTCTGCTCACAATCCTCCCATAGCTTCTGCCTCACTCAGAGTAAAAGCCAAAGTCCTGGCCACAGCCCACAAGCCCCTACCCAATTGGACTCACCACCTCTCTGACTTCATCTACTACTACTACATTCTGTTCGGGCACACTGGCCTCCCTCTAAGCTGTGCCTGAGTCGCACCAGGTGTGTGGGCCTGCTGCCCTCCCCTGCATGTGCACGCAGCTAACTCTCACCTTCTGCAAGGCTCAAATCTAACCTGCTCTGAGGCCTACCCTGACTGCGCTATTTAATACTGTGAATTCACATTCCTGCCCAGCCCCTTTATCCTGGCTCTACACTTTCCCATTCATAGTACTTCCCAACTAATTTATTCATTATGTTTATTGTTTACTTTGTATCAATCTGCAAACATGTGAGCATCACAAGGACAGGGATCTTGGCCTGCTGGGCTCACCTATGTATCCCCATACACTGAAAACAATGCCTGGCACAGACTGGCAATAAGTATTTGTGGAATAAGACTCAGCTCTTGCCAGCCAATATCTACAATCACTCCAAACTCCTTGTGATTTTATAAATCCTCAGATGCTTGTCTGCTCTGCCTCTCCCTTCCCTAAAAATTCAACCTTCCTCTGTGAAGACTAACTAGATCCCCCACCTCCACTGATCTCCCAGCCAGGGTCAAGGACCCCACCAATGAGTTGTCTTCCCTCAGCAGATGAGATCGTTGAGGGCAGAGCAGTCCAGATCTGATGTTACATCCTCAGTAGAAACCTGGCACACACGGGCAGTCAACAAAAGCTTGTGTCTCTGAAGCTATCCATCATTCTCTTGTGTCACCAGCAGCAGTGGCTGCCCTCCTCTCACTCTTTAAGTGCCTGTTCTGCACAAGTATTTAAAGTTCCAAGGTATAATGCCAAAACTAAGACACAAGATGAGTTACAGGTGTTGGATGCTTCCTTCCCTCCCAGATGTCAAAACTGCTTAATTTTTTCCTGCTCGTTTGAGGGCAAAGCATGAGAAGTAATGGGTTCTTGGCCAAGCCTGTGACAGAGTCCATGACCCACCTGGCTGGGGCCGCGGACCTGGCGAGCCTGTTTCTCCTGATCCCGCAACCACTGCAGGTAGGATTCCCGAGCCACCTGCTCCTCGATGGCCTCATTTGTGGCCTCCCAGTCTGTGGCCCGTTTCTTGTCTTCTAGCATCTGCTGTTCAATCCACGACTCCTCCGATGTTTTTATGGCATTCTTCATCAGAGACTGCTCTGCAAACTGCAAGGAGGGAGAGGAGCAGGGATGTGCAATAACCCTCTGAATCTACCCAAGAGCCAGAACAGGCTCAGTGGGGTAGGTCCACAGGCCCAGAAAAAAAGAAGACAGGAGAGCAGATGTTCCCACAGAGCAACCCTCTGCAGACCGCCTCTTGATCCAGGACTGGGGGAAAGCAGGCTTAGGGTGTGAGACCTGTCATTCCAACCTCCTTTGCTTGGAAAACCTGACTCCAATCCCCAATCACTTCAACTGAGGCACTGAGACTGAGGCAGTCAGGTGCCCTCCAGCCTGGGCCTTAATTTTTTTTTCTTTTGAGATGGAGTCTCGCTCTGTTGCCCAGGCTAGAGTGCAGTGGCACGATCTCAGCTCCCTGAAACTTCTGTCTCCCAGGTTCAAGCGATTCTCCTGCCTTAGCATCTTGAGTAGCTGGGATTACAGGCAGGCACCACCACACTTGGCTAATTTTTTTGTATTTTTAGTAGAGACGGGGTTTCACCATGTTAGCCAAGCTGTTCTTGAACTCCTGGCCTCAGGTGATCCACCCACCTTGGCCTCCCAAAGTGCTGGGATTACAGGCATGAGCCACTGTGCCTGGCCTGGGCCTTAATTTAAAGAAGCCCCATCCAGAGATGACTGTTTCACAATACTGAGGCCTTCCTCACACATGAGCAGATGAGACAAATAGAAAAATCAGCTATGTGTGCACAGGGTGGAGGGAGTATTCAAGCATGTGAGGGGTTCGGGGAAGCAGTGGGTGTGTGAGGGGATAAGAGGGCAGTATCAACAAGGTGTGGGGTACTCATAAGTTACATGACACTACATGAGAGTACTGTTTTTCAAGCTGTGAGATTCAACAGTATTTAAAAAAAAAGGGAAAATATCAGAGTATATCCCAGGGAATAAGTGCAAATATTATTTCATGAAGCTTTAGTTAACATTATTTTTTTCATTTTTTTAAATTTTTCTATCATCCAGCCCAAAATGTCATAGTTAACATTATTTTAATGTACATATATATGCTACACACAAATACATATGTGCTAAGTAGTCATGTAAAATGTATTCTTTTATTTTTCCTGCAGACCTTGCATTTAGATAAAATGTAATTTTTTACTATGGATAACAGTAAAAAAATACATAAAACTACGTTAGAACAAGCCAATTAAAAAACAGTCAAAAAATCTAAACACATTCTGGCAGTATTAAACACATTCCAAGTGTTTTTTCTACTTGCTCCATCAACAACAATCAACACAGGAGACTTCTGTAACCAAAGGTGTGGGCTGGGGGGAGGCTGTTTTCCCACACAGCAAGCAGCGGACACCTGGTGTCCTCCGATGCAATTCAATACCTAGAGACAGCCTAAGATCCCACAGGTTGAGGGCTCAGTCCCACAAGACTCCCCCCAACTCCCCTTTGGACACCAGTCGAAAGTCTGGGCCTGAAGAATTTCTGACTGACCAGCTATAAATTGGGATTCCCACAGTATTTTTTTGGAGGGGTTCAATTAACTTGCTAGAGCAGCTCACAAAACCCAGGAAACACGTTTGCCAGTTTACATAGAGGAAATTACAAAGGATACAGATGAAAAGATGCACAGGGTGAGGTATGGGGGAAGGGATGTGGAGCTTCCATGCCCTCCCTGGGGTGCCAACCTCTAGAAACTTCCACGTATTCAGCTAGCCAGAAGCTCCCAGAACCCAATCTTTTCAGGATTTCATGGAAGCTTCATTATGTAGGCATTATTGATTAAGCCACTGGACATTGGTGATCAACCTAATCTTCAGCCCTCCCCCGTCCCCAAAGGCTGGGGGATGGGCTTAAAGTCTCAAACCCCAAATCCTGCCTTGGTTTTTCTGGTCACCAGCCCCCATCCTGAAGCTACCTATGGGCTGCTAGCCATCAGTCAACTCATTAGCATACAAAAAGGCATCACTTGGGAGTTTCTAAGGATTTTAGGAACTGTATGTCAGGAAGTCATGAACACAATTCACCAAAGAAGATATACAGATGGCAAATAAGCATATGAAAAGATGCTCAACAGCATTCGCCATTAGGCAATTGCAAATTAAAATAATGAGATACCACCACACACCTAAGGGAATGGCTAAAATCCAACACAATGACAGTATTAATTGCTGGTAATAATGCTGAGCAACAGGAACTTCCAAATCATTACTGTGCGCATGCAAATAATACAGCCACTTTGGAAGACAGTTTCGAAGTTCCTCACAAATCAAAACATAATCTTACAACACAATCCAGCAATCTTGCTCCCAGGTATGTAAACAACTGGTCTAAAAACTTATGTCCATGAAAAAACCTGCAAACACGTTACAGAAGCTTTATTCATAATCATCAAAAACTGGAAGGAACCAAGAATGTCTTTTCTTTTTTGTTTTTTGAGATGGAGTCTTACTCTTGTTGCCCAGGCTGGAGAGTCCAATGGCGCGATCTCAGCTCACTGCAACCTCCACCTCCTGGTTCAAGTGATTCTCCTCCCTCAGCCTCCCAAGTAGGCCGAGGCGACTGGATCACCTAAGGTCAGGAGTTCGAGACCAGCCTGACCAACATGGTGAAACCCCATCTCTACTAAAAATACAAAAAAATAGCTGGGTGTGGTGGTACATGCCTGTAATTCTCAGCTACTTTGGAGGGTGAAGCAGGAGAATCACTTGAACCAGGGAGGTGGAGGTTTCGGTGAGCCGAGATCTTGCCATTGCACTCCAGCCTGGGCAACAAGAGCAAAACTCCATCTCAAAAAAAACAAAGACCATATTGATATGAATAAATGACTGGAAAAATTCATAAATTAAGGATGAATTAAAGACGAGAGACAGCTCCCTTGAAGAGGAATTTCAAATAATCTTTGTAAAAACTTCAAGGGGATGGGCATGACCATTTCTTGGGTGTGGGCTGCACACAGTGACTTCCTTCCAGGCAGTACAGTTTGGAAAAGGTGGGAAAGAGTAACCTTAAGTGGAGAAACCTAACAAACACTCCTTCTGCCAGGTGATCAAGGATAACACCAATGGGCATAAATGACACTGATAGTATACACCCTTGAAGTGATGTAATGAGAATGGCACTTAATCTCTGTGCTCTTCCCCTCTAAAACCCACAACCCTAGTTTAATCATGAGAAAAAGTCCAAAAGAGACGTTTCCTACACAATATTTGATCAGTACTCCTTAAAACTGTCAAGGTCATTAAAACAAAACTGAGAAACTGTCACAGATAAGGAGGCCTAAGGAGGCATGCATACTTCAGTTAATAATATATTCATATTTGGTTTGCACATTGTAACACATGTACCATAATCATCTGAGGTGTTAATAACAGCAGAACTGTGTTTGGGAGGAGGAGGATATGTGTGAATTCTATACTATCTCCTCAATTGTTTCGTAAATCTAAAACTGCTCTAAACAATTAAGTCTATTAAATAAAAAACGTAAAACATTTTTTTTTTTCTGAGACAGAGTCTTGCTCTGTCGCCCAGGTTGGAGTGCAGGGATGCAATCTCAGCTTACTACCTCCGCCTCCTAGGTTCAAGTGATTTTCCTGCCTTAGCCTCCCAAGTAGCTGGGATTACAAGCATGTGCTACCATGCCCGGCTACTTTTTTTGTATTTTTAGTAGAGACAGGGCTTCACCATGTTGGCCAGGCTGGTCTCAAACTCCTGACCTTAGGTGATCCTCCCACCTTGGCCTCCCAAAGTGTTGAGATTACTGGCGTGAGCCCCCATGCCCAGCCAAAATATTCACATTTTGGAAGAAAGAAAAAGAGGAAACGGGGTGCAGTGGCTCATGCCTGTAATTCCAGAACTTTGAGAGGCCAAGGCAGGAGGATCACTTGAGCCCAAGAGTTCAAGGCCAGCCTCGCCATTATAAGTGAGACCTTGTCTCTACAAAAAAATTTTTTAAAAACACCAGCTGGGCATGGTGGCGAGTGCCTGCAGTCTCCCAGCTACTCGGGAGGCTGAAGTGAGAGGCTTGCTTAAACCTGGGAAGCACAGCCTAGCTACAGTGAGCCTAGATTGCCCCACTACACTCCAGCCTGGTTGACAGAGTGAGACCTTGTCTCCCCACCTGCCCACCAAAAAAGAAAAGGAGCCTTTAAACCAGGACAAATCACAGATGAATTTTAAATATATAGTGTTAAATGAAAACAGCCAGTCTGAAAAAGCTACATACTGTACATTTCCAATTATATGACATTCCAGAAAAGGCAAAACTAGAATCAGTAAACAGATTGAAAACAAAAATAAGAAAATTCTGAGAAACTGTCACAGCCAAGAGGAGATAACGGAGAAACAACTACAAAACATAAAATGGCATCCTGGATGGGATCCTGGAACAGATAAGTCATTAGGGAAAAACTGAGGTAATCTGAGTCAGGTATGGTCTTTAGTTAATAATATGTCAATATTGGTTCATCAACTATGACAAAGGTACTATGCTAATACATTAATCTTAAGTGGGGCATATCGGAATTCTGGAATATGTTTGCAATAATTTTTTTTTTTTTTTTCGAGACAGAGTCTCGTTCTGTTGCCCAGTCTGGAGTGCGGTGGCACAATCTCGGCTCACTGCAACCTCCGCCTCCCAAGTTCAAGCGATTCTCCTGCCTCAGCCTCTCCAGTAGCTGGGATTACAGGCACCTGCTGCCACACCCAGCCAATTTTTGTATTTTTAGTAGAGACAGGGTTTCACCATGTTAGCCAGGCTGATCTTGAACTTCTGACCTCAGGTGATCTGCCTGCCTCACCCTCACAAAGTGCTGTGATTACAAACAGACGTGAGCCACCGTACCTGGCCTCTTTGCAATAATTCTATAAATCTAAAGCTGCTCTAAAATTAAGTTTATTTAAAAACAAAACAAAAAAGAATCCTATGCTGGAGGGTGTGTTGGTGTTAGGGTATGTGTTTCCGAAAATGAAGGAGTACTTTGTGTTTGTAGAAGTGAAACCTGAATAGAAGATATCAAAATCCCCAGCTGACGACTATGAGAGAGAAAGAGAGAGACAGAGAAATGAATGAGTATCTATCAGTGTGTGTTGGGAAAATGCACTGCCACCTTCTGAACACCTAGTAGGTCCCAGGCCCAGTGGGAGGCGCTTTCTGTATCAGCCAAGCTGTCAGCCTGGAATACCTGTAGAATCTGCCTAGGTCACACAGCGAGTCAGTGGTGGGGCCAGGCCTGTACCCCTTGTCTCTGTGACCACAGCTATCTGTAACCACCATGATCCCAGGAGGAAGATCCATGCCAAGATGCCCCGACCAAACCCTGGCTCACTGCTCCCAAATAGGACTCCATATCCTAAAATGCCAGCCCTCAACAGGCACAAAAGATAGGTAAGCCAGCTCAGACAGGTAAACCAAGACCAAAGAATAAGCCCTGAGAGATCTCCTTGAGTAACTCCCTACTTTTTTATAAGGGTGAGACCTCAGGGAGACCCAGAGAGGAGACAGATTATTTTTGTGAGTTGGGGCAAAAGAGACTCCAAGAGAGGTTTCTGACCTCTATATCCAGCAGCCATTCTAGGCAAGGGACTCACTCACCCCTGGTTTGAATGATGGCAGGCCCAGCCCCACACCAATGGTGGCCTTGTTAGGATTCACCACCGAATTATAGTGGATATTCCGATGGTAGCTGACACGGATAGGTTCATCCTCATTTTGATGTATCCCATGGAATGTGTTGATAGGGTCTGCAGAGAAAGAGAAGGAGGGAGCATCCACAGCAGGCCAGGTTGGGCAGGCTCGAACGAGGCACTATTAGTCCCTCACCTACCCACTGCAGAAGTACCTGTGCTGTACTGGTACACTTCCACAGGACGGTTGTACATCTCTGCCATGGCCTGCATCTCAATGTGGTTGCCATGGCAATTGTTTTTCCGCTTCCGGTTAATGTAGGTGGTAAAGTCCTCTGTGACATAGTTGGAGAAGTAGTCGGCATTCTTCATCTGCAGAATAGATTGGAAGGTCAAGGTCAATGTGGAGAAGAAATCCTCCCACCCTGCCCTTGCCCCAAGGCCTCCCTAAGTTCTCACCAAATAGTCCATGCAATGCTTTCGCACAACCTCATGCATGTCCTGGTCTCCATACACCTGGTCAGCTGTGGGGACAGAAGAAAGCAGCACTTTGGGGTCAGAGATGCCAGAGAAGAGTTCTGAATCACAGAACATCCTTTGGGGAGGAGGAGCTGGGGAACCAGGGAAACTCCCTTTTCTACCCCAAGGCCTGGAGCGTTCTTGCCCTTGTAGGCTAGAACGGGGTCACGGAAAAATTAGGCAGGCAGGGCCAGACTTGAAGAACAAGAGAGTGCAGGTGAGAGTAACACGGCCACAGGCCTCTTGGGCACATGACTTTGTCTAGGATACACGTGGCCACTCAGAGAAATCAAGAACATTTTAAGTTCCATAGGTTGGCCTCAAACGCTATTGATTCCCACACCCCCTCTTTCACTTTCCACATGAGGAAACTGAGGTTCAGGGGGAGTTTGTAGTTTGTCCAAGGTCACAAAGACTCAGTTTGTGACAGAATCAACTCTGGAATTCAGTTTTCCTGACTCCCACGAGTCAGCACAGCCTTCATAGGTTGAAAAAAAAAGGAAAGGAAAAAACAAAATGGGCTCTAAGCCCAGTTCTGCCAGATACTAGAGAGCTGAGTGACCAGAGGCAAATGACCCAAGTGTTCTGAGCCTCATATGCCTCATCTGTAAAATGGGAACAAGAGGGTTAATAGGCTGGGTGCAGTGGCGCACACCTTAATCCCAGCACTTTGGGAGGCCGAGGCAGGCAGATCACTTGAGGTCAGGAGTCCGAGACCAGCCTGGCCAACATGGTGAAATCCCGTCTCTATTAAAAATACAAAAATTAGCTGGGTGTGGGGTTAGGCACCTGTAATCCCAGCTACTTGGGAAGCTAAGGCAGAAGAATCGCTTGAACCCAGGATGCAGAGGTTGCAGTGAGCTGAGACCGTGCCACTGCACTCTAGCGTGGGCGACAGAGTGAGTGAGACTGTCTCACACACACACACACAAAAAGAGGGATAACAACATGGTAGGCCTTTTGTGAGGCTTAATTGAGATAATGGGTATAAAATGACTACCACTGGGCTTGGGACAGAGTAGGCACACAGTAAATCAGAATTCCTTTCTTCATAGGGAGGCCTGAATATGGGATACTGTGAAGGTGACAGAGGTGAGTAAAATCCTGCCCCTACCTTCGGGGAGCACACAGTCTAGTAAAAGAGATAAGACACACATGCAACTAACTTTAGCTTAACTCAGGATGGGCAGCCTGTGGCCCGAATAGTCCAGGCGTCGTGAGATTTGGTCAAACTAAGGCGAGAAGGAAACACACTCCCTCTGCTTCGCTTGAGGATCTTCACACATGCCGTTCCTTCTCTTCAGGACGCTCCTTCCATCCTCGTCAGCTGCCTACTTCTCAAACACCAATGTGTTCTTTATTTATTTATTTATTTGAGACAAGGTCTCGCTCTGTTGCCCAGGCTGGAGTGCAGTGGCATGATCATAGTTCACTGCAGCCTCGATCGCCTGGGCTCAAGCGATCCTCTCGTCTCAGATTCCCAAAGTGCCTGGATTATAGGTGTGAGCCACCGCGCCTGGCCCAACATGTTCTTTAATACAGTTTCCCACTACCCAGGACACCTCTATCACTAGATTTATCAAAGGCGTGCATAGACTTCTGTCCGACCACACTGGGCTCCCACTGAAGGCAAAGGGCAGTTCACACCAAAGTCCACCCCCAGCTCAGGGCCCGATACAGTAAAGGAAATCAGGAAAAGTTTATTGAGCAAATGGATAGGCTGGGTAAGCCAGGGAGCTCTTCTCCCTGTGAAATTAAAGTGGGTCTGAAGATCATGCGAGTCTGATTTCCACTGGTTTAGGGAATTTCCCTTTGTTTCCCCAGAGGACCACTGCTCTGATGGGATCTCCCTTAGGGCACTGGGCTAGGATCAGGTCATATGGGAACACTCCTGAGTTCTTCCCTGTCAGTCTACCTTTGTGAAGAACTGTCAGAAGAATGCCTTCCCTGCCTTCCCCTTCCTACTCTGGAGGGCTCTGTGAGAAAGGCTATTCTGAGACAGAAAATAGGGCCCAGTTGTCTCTGGTCCTCCAGTCCTCTTGGAGGCAAAGAGACCTGAAGAGTAAGGGGGTGTGGAGGTTGTGAAGGCGGGAAGGGGTAGCCCCTTCACCAATGTAAACAAGGATGTGGGTTCTGCGGCCACACTCTTCCCTGCCCCCTCAGCGGCATTTCCAGCAAGTCACATGTCCTGTGCACAGGCTGGGGGCCCCCTGCTGCTGCCTTTCTTAGAAGCCAGAACCACAGAGCCCGCACAGTGAGCTGCTTGAGGAGCTATTTCTGTAGGCTGGGCTTGGGGTGCTGGGAGGCAGTGCTGTCAGCAGCTGCAGTAAACAGGAATAAAGATGAGAGTGAAGGGGTTAAATAGGGGTTGACTGGCCAGGCTCAGAGAGATAGGCTGAGGTGTTGGAGAAAACCTATCTCTATGGAAAGGTCAATTGTCATTTCCAGGCCTGGGAGTTCTATCTTCAAGAGCTAGATGACAGATGCAGGAAAATGGGGGAAAGAGAGGACACCGTGGAACAGGGAAGAGAGCTGGGGAAAACCCTGAGGGTCCCATTTCTCTACCACTGACCCCTTTGCCTGGTAGAAAGGCTCTGCTGCCTCCTAGCTGTGTGGCAATGGATAAGGCCTTTAACCTCTCTGAGCTGAAATGTCCTCAGGCATAAGGTAGAGACAGTAACTCCCCTTCCATTTGCTGGGTATTGTCAAAACTACACAGGAGGTCTGCGAAGCACCTAAGGCACAGTAGGTGGTCAAGAAACAGGAGCACCATTTATCAGGAGGACAAAGATTCCTTCATATTGCTAGTTACTCACAAGTCAGCCAGAATCTTGCCAGAACCACTTATAAAGCCCTTCTCCTCATTTCTGTTGCAATTCCTCAGCCAGAGGAAAGCCTCAAATGCAGAGCTTAGGCTGCATGTCCTCTCCCGGCTCTCTATCTTTACTGAAACCAAAGGTCCACAAGTCTACCTCTGAGCCTTTAGTTTAAACTTCAGCAGTCAAATTAATATCAAATTAACAATACAGGCTTCATAAAACAGGGTCTTAAAGTATGGACAAGTTATGACACTTCTCGACTTATCTGTAAAATGTAAAATACCACCTTTTCTCCTCAAACCTATGATGTCACTGTTAGGTGATATGGTATAACATGTATTTAATCACAGCTTTTGAGGGGGGAAAACACACCACACTGATTATAAGGTACACCCTAAGTTTGGAATCGTTAATGTAGAAGAAAAATATGCATCTCCAAACCAAGGAAAACAGCAATAGTACTCCCCACAACAAGGAGAATAGAAGGATTTCTCTACTCAACAAGTATTCCTTTTTGGCCAGGTGTGGTGGCTCATGCCTGTAATCCCAGCACTTTGGGAGGCCAAGGCAGGTGGATAACCTGAGGTCAGGAGTTCGAGACCAGATTAGCCAACATGGTAAAATCCAATCTCTACTAAAAATATAAAAACTTAGCCAGGCATGGTGGCAGACACCTATAATCCCAGCTATTTGGGAGGCTGAGGCAGGAGAATCACTTGAACCCAGGAGGAAGAGGTTGCAGTGAGCCAAGATGGTGCCACTGCACTCCAGCCTGGGCTACAACAGCGAAACTCTGTCTCAAAAAAAAAAAAAAAAAGAATTCGTTTCTCTGACTTTCCTAGTTCCACCTCTGTCCTCCAGAAAGCCCTCCTCTTCCCAGAAGGCTGGCACACAGGGCTGGGGGCAGGCTAGACTTCCCTTTGGAGGGGTCTGAAGTTGGGGGGATGACCTGCAGAGGAAGGGGAATTCAGAGAACTTGTTTTGATAGAAACTGAAACTCCTCCTCTTGCTGACGCTGCACTTGCGGGCAATCTGCACCTGTTCTCCCCTCCCAGAGGCCAGCTGGAAAGGGGTCCCCCACCATTCTACCTCTGTTCCCATCTCCAACAGGGCTCAGAAATCCTCAGTACAATACTACAATTGGTTCTATCAAAGACTTTTCACACTCAAACTCATTCTATTCTTACCAAAACACTCTGACTTTACACAGGGGACACAGAAATGTGGCAAAGCTGACCTGGAATCACACATCTAGGGCGGGTGAAGGTGAGGCCACACTCTCAAAGGTAGCTGCTGGCCCCAGGTGATATTACCACCCTTACCCCAGTCTAGCTACCATCTTAGTCACCTTACTCCCTGGGGCAGAACCTGATCCTGTGTACCTCAGTTTCCACACCAGTACAAGCAGGAATCAGCTAGAACCCAGGAAAGGCATGGGAATGGGCAGAGATTATAGATATCAGGGGCTGTAACTCTCCCTAGGGCCACAGAGGCCAACCTTACCCTCCCCATATGCACCCCACTTCTTTCCTTTTTCTGGACACATAGACGATGTAGAAATGCACATGTGTATATATACCCAGCAGAGCCTGCCAAAGATGCTCGCTGAAGCTAAATGCTCACCCAACAAATCCCACAACAGAGAACTATCACATTCAATGAGCAGATGCCCTTGCCTCTAACCAGGAAAGACTGAAGATGTGAGGCTCTAAAAACTGAGGAATCCCCTATCCCACCAACCTCTTTCCTAGCCTCTGGCAGGGTAGGTGAAGGGCAGGGGAAATAACCCTAAGAGCTCTAACAGACTAGCCTCAACCTCTCTCCTCTGCTGTCTGGGAGAAGTCCTTATGTAACCAATGTAATGTAACCAGTATATACCCAGATTTATGTGAAGAAGCAAGACATGGGAGCCTGAATTTTCTTTCTATAGGGTCCTACCATTTGCTTTAGAGACAGCTGAGAACTGCCTACTCCCCAAATAGCTGCTTACCTGCCAGAAGAGTCATAGCAAGTTCCACTAAGGGCAAAAAAGGAACCTTGGTACCTACAGGGAACCTAAAAACAAACCACACAAACATGTACATACAGCCACAGAGGGAGACAGGGACGTGGTCTGCTCCACACCACCCTCCTAGTCCAGTGAGAACCCTGGTCCCACTGAGAACAAATCTCCTGAGGATATGAGCCAGGACAAAGGTCTCACCTGCTTGTCAAGCAGCTGTGGTGTGACCTGGTCTGTGGTCCCAACTACCACAACTGGCATACCCTCAGTGGGAGAGACAGGAGAACTCATCCCCCTGGATAGCCTGGTCCCTGATATGTGTGCTCCTCTGCTTAAGAATTCTCACTGCAAGGATGAGAAAAACTGAAGGATACAGCGGGGAGAGAGAAAGAAACTGGTGTACAGGAAATGGCCCATGGGAATCTTCTTCCTTCTGTGGCCTGGTTCAACCTCAAATACCAATGTTCTGACACTGGTTGTATAACCTAGATAGGGTAGGGTCTTGGCTTTCTTAAGGCCTGTTTCCCCATTTATAAAACAGTCAAAACTAATCTCAGATCCATCCCTCCTAGTGCTAACGGTCCATGTTCCAAGACCAAAAGGCCCAGAGGAGTGGGCCTAGCTAATGTTTCTGGGCCTCATCCTGGTAACATGCACAGACCTTGCTGCTCCCCCATGGCCCATGTAGAAACAACCATGTGGCCTCCACTTTGCCCACAGAAGCTAGCACCAGGACCCTGTCAGGGTTAGAGGTTTTTGCTGAGTCAAAGCCACATGGAGGGAGGGAGCAAGGGAGAGATGCAGAGTCATGTTTCCAAGAGGAGGTTATCTGAGCATAGCAGGGACAGGGTGGGCCACTCCACTGAGGCTACCTCTGAGGCTCAGGTTCCTATGCTCATGAATCCCCAATAAGAGGAGGTGGGAGAGAACTGAGTGCAGCCAATGCATATTGGTTCCCTCAGGGGAACCAATGGCAGACAGGCAGCTACCTGGGGAGTAGGCAGTTCTCAGATGTCTCTAAAGCAAATGGTAGGACCCTACAGGAAGATAATCCAGGGGATGGGCTGGGTGTGGTAGTTCACGCCTGTAATCCCAGCACTTTGGGAGGCCGAGGCAGGAGGATCATGAGTCAGGAGTTTGAGACCAACCTAGCCAATATGATAAAACCCCATCTCTACTCTCTACTAAAAATACAAAAAAACTAGCCAGGCATGGTGGCACACACCTGTAATCTCAGCTACTCGGGAGGCTGAGACAGAATTGCTTGAACCTGGCAGGTGGAGGCTGCAGTGAGCTGAGATCGTGCCACTGCACCAGCCTAGGTGACAGAGCAAGACTCTGTCTCAAAAAAAAGGAAGATAATCCAGGGGAACAGAAAGCAGAAAGCCACCTGCCTCAAGACTCCCAACCATAGAGGGCCACATGCTCCTACTTGGAGGAGGTAAGGCCCGGAGAAGTCAAGGAACACAGCCAAGGTCATCTGCCAGTTGACAACCAAGCTAAGAAGCTAAGGATCCTAGGATCATGAAAAGAATGTGTCCTGGCAGGGCACAGTGGCTCATGCCTGTAATCCCAGCACTTGGGGAAGCCAAGGCGGGTAGGTCATGAGGGTCAGGAGTTTGAGACCAGCCTGACCAACATGGTGAAACCCCCATCTCTACTAAAATACAAAAATTAGCCCGGTATGGTAGCACAAGACTGTAATCCCAACTACTCAGGAGTGAGGCAGAAGAATCACTTGAACTCAGGAGGCAGAGGCTGCAGTGCGCCGAGATTATACCACTGCACCCCAGCCTGGGCAAAAAGAGTGAAACTCTGTCTCAAAACAACAACCAACAACAACAACAAATGTGTCCTTTGGACACCTCTGGGTTCCCAGGCCAGCTCTGGCTAATGGCTCTGAGCATGTCATTTCCCTTTCTATGCTTCAATCTTTTCACCTGTCTCATGGGATAAATATCCAAGTTTTGCAAGTGAGCCTGAAGCACCCAGCTGAATGCCTGGCACACAGCAGGGGTCAAGGAAACAGTGCCTTCTACATTTGCAACACCCCCCCCAACTCCAACTCTGCTACATGTTCCTTCTACTATTCAACACAGGGCAGGAAGTCAGCCTGTAGGGCTTCACACTACAGCCTAAGCTGACTGCCATCTGTCTCCATCCAGGCTAGGCTGGAAACGGGGGGCAGCGAAAAGCCCGGGGACAAAGTCCCCTTCCCAGGCACATGTACTATGCACTCTGCACCAGGGAAACCTCCAGATAAGGTCTAGAGACCAGGGGCCATGTACTTCTGGGGAGAGGCCACAGACTTCTGAGGTTTTACAGAGAAAAGCCAAAGGCAGCCCAGTCAGGGGAAATGTGTAGTCATAGTGCCGATAAGGAAAGACCTTCAACCTGCCGTGGTCAGCTCTTCCTGTAAGTGGAGGCCCCTTACTGAAGGCCCCAGTGGGAGGAAGGGTCGGGGGTATTTGGGGAGAACAGTTAGATACACAAACACACACACACACACACACACACTGCTCTTGATATGAGTTACTACACAAGCCAGGTCCTCACTAGCCAGCCCCAAGGCCTACCCTCAATGACTGCCCAAGACTCAGATGCCTGCTGCATTCTCTGATCCTAACTGCACCAGCAGCCCCGCTTACTCCACATCCAGCCTGAGGTCTCGACACAGGGCCTAGCACCTAACAGGCCCCCATCTATTTTTCGTTTGCCTTCCTTTTGTCTAAGATGCCCCCAAACCCAGCTCTTCCTCTGGGAAACATCCCAGGGAGAATAGCGACTTGAGCCAGAGGTGTAGGATGGGTGAGTTTTTTCCCAGTCCAACAGAGCCCATTGCCTGGGCCTCTTCTGCTTGGCAGAATAGAGAGGAGATCACCCACTCCACCCTTTCAACAAACACATGTGACTCTGAGGCACCACTGAAAATGGCATCTGGGTTTTACAAATGCTACTGTTCCTTGAGGGTCTGCTATATGTGTCAGGCACTAAAGGGATTTACCAAAGCAACTTCATTAAATCGTTACAGCATGAGGGTCTTTTAGCCCCATTTTATAGATGAGGAAACAAGCTCAGAAAGAAGAGCTGCTTGCCTAAGGTCATACTGAGAATCAGTGGCGCAGCCAGAGATGGAGCCTGAAACAGTCCCGCCAACCAGTAGACATGGAGGTACCCACAGACAGAGAGAACAGCAGACCAAGAAGGAACTCAAAGAGGCACTGAGAATCAACACCATTTCACAGATGGGAAAACCAAGGCCAAGTGTCACAGCAGTTATGAGTCAGGGCCAGAACTAGAAGGTAGGTCTTCTGACTCCTAGCTCAAAGCTCCTATCAGAGGGTACTTGTCCTTGGTAGATATCAGAGCATCAAAGGCAGGATAAGGTCATACTCCCAGCTTCCCCTTCACCCTAGCACATGACCTCACAACTACCTATTGGGTCACAGATTCAGAGCCAAAATGGCCTCAAAGATCCAGCTCAGACTGGATAACAGACAGTATTAAGGCATTATTAATTCTGTTAGGTGCAGTAATGGCATTTTGATTATGTTAAAAAGAAAAAAGTCTGTATCTGTCAGAGAAACATACAGAAATATTTATGAATGAAATGATCCAATGTCAGGGTTTTGCTTTAAAATACTCTTGTTTTAGGGTAGTGAGAAAGAGTGGGTGGGATAGTGATGAAATAAGGCTGGCCATGTGTTGACTATTTTGAAGAAGGATGAGGGTTCATCCTTTTTCTTTCGTATAAGTTGAAAAAAATTTATATAAGAAATTTGTGGAGATCTAGTTTCATAGCCCCCATACACACAGATTGAGGAACAGAGACTCACAACACACCAGAGATGGGATCTGGGTATAAACCTAGCGGTCCTACAGCCCAGGGTAACAGCAGTGTGCTATGGTTAAGAGCATGGGCCTCAGACTAATGTAACCCAGACACTGAATCCCAACTCTACTACTTATTTTACTCCAGAAAAGTCACCCCCGCATCTCTGAGCCACTTTTCTCTTCTGACAAATGGAAGCAACAATAGTCCCTACACTCACCTAGTTTAGTGGGGAATCAAAGAGGTTTCCTGTAGCACCTGACAGACCAATGTGTCCCAAAGGATGTTATTTTCTTTATCACTATTCTTGCTACTATTAGTATTAATCCTCCACCACTACAATGTCTCAAGACCCACAGCTAGAGGTCACATATCAACTTGAGGGTGGAGTCTAGAGTCCCTAAAAGATTAGCTAACTGCCTCAACCCTGTCTCAGGGGCTATTCCTGATAACTGGGACACTGCTTAGGGGCAGCCCTAGGCCCTTAAGGACTAAGGCAGAGACTCACCTACAGCCCGGAAGAGACAGGCGCCATCCTCCTTCATCTGCTTGATGATGAAGCCCTTCTTGTCCCGTAGGGCCTTTTCAAACCAGTGCTCCTGCTGGAGGGAAGAGGTGGGAGTCAGCAACAGGGAAGACCTGTACTCCCTCCCCACAGCCCCAACCTTAAGCTCCTGAGAGGACCAGATCATTGACAGAGAGGATGCTGGGCAAAGTAAAGTTCTCAGCCCTGTTTGACCACTCCATGAATGTGAAGTAGGAGACTCTTTTAGGGAATCAGTTGCTGGGTGAACCTAAGACTTGCTTCCAAAAGGGTCCCAAGTAATCTGAGAACAGTGGCCCCATCTGCCTTCTCACTTCTGCTGATCCTGAAGGGCCTGGCCCAGGGAGCCACATTCCACCAGACAGCCAGATACTCAGATCCAGCAAGTGTCTGGGTGGAGAATGTGGCTCTACCTCAAGGAGTTTCATCTAGGAAAGATGTTGAAGAGGAAGTGACTGGCAAGAGCCTAGATCCTGAATCTGACAAAGAGTTAGAGGATTCCAAGATATACTGTATAAGTCACAAGTCTGCAAATAATGCTCTCATCTGTAACTAAACACATTTAACAGATATATATACACACACATTTATACACATATATACTTATGTATGTATACAAACACACGTACACAAAATTGGGAAGACTAGACAGCAAAATATTATCCCTAAGTGCTGGTGTTATCAGCAATTTTATCTCACTTTCCCTTTTTTTGAGACGGAGTCTCCCTCTGTCGCCCAGGCCTGAGTAGAGTGGCGTGATCTTGGCTCACTGCAACCTCCACCTCCCAAGTTCAAGCGATTCTCCTGCCTCAGCCTCCTGAGTAGCGGGGACTACAGGTGCGTGCCACCATGCCCAGCTAATTTTTTGTATTTTTAGTAGAGATGGGGTTTCACCATGTTAGCCAAGATGGTCTTGATCTACTGACCTCATGATCCACCCACCACGGCCTTCCAAAATGCTGGGATTATAGGCATGAGCCACTGCACCTGGCCCATTTCCCTTTTAAAAAGGTATACTAAACCCAAAAAGCTTTGAAAATCAAAAGTCTTTATCTAACTCATTTGGCATCATAACCCGACTAGAACTGACAAGAATCTATCCCACTTGGGGTGAATATTCAAATATTTCAATGCAGAAAATATTCAGGTGTTTGATTATGAGGTACTGCCTCAGACCCTGCTGGAGGTGTATATAATGCAAAGTATATACACTAAGTGAGTGTTAGAGATTCTGAATCTTTCCTAAATTCCAAAGCACATCTGGCACCGCAAAGGTTCAAGTTAAATAAACCTGTATAAATATATATTTTTTGAATTAAAAAAAAAAAGACCACATAACCTCTTAAAACATAATTTTAATTTCAAAACAAACCAAACCAGAAGCAACAGACCAACCTTTTCTGGGTCCCTCACGCCCTCTGCTGGCTACCAGAAGCAGCCAGCCTGACCCAGCAACAGGGCTGCAAACTACAGGATCCCAAGCCTGCTCCCTGGGGACACAGCACTACCCAGGGATTTATACAATCCAGGCTAACAGAAACCAGTTATAGGGGCCCACCTATCCATAAGGCTATTTTTCCCCAGCTCAGGCAAGGGGTGGAACCCATCCCCTAGGAAAGCCAGAGGAGAGGCATCTCTGGCAAAGTTGTAAGCACAAGGTTCGGAAGCAAAGAGCTTTGGGTTCCAACCCCAGCTTTGTCAAATTGCTGCCCGCTATCAGTCTGTTTCCTATGGAATGGGGGATATGTTGATCTACTGGACAGAGCTGTCAACAGGTTCAGACGAGTTTCAGGACCTAAAGATTATTATTATTTTTTGAGACGGAGTTTCGCTGTTGTTACCCAGACTGGAGTGCAATGGAACGATCTCGGCTCACCGCAACCTCCGCCTTCTGGGTCAAGCAATTCTTCTGCCTCACCCTCCCAAGTAGCTGGGATTACAGGCACGCGCCACCATACCCAGCTAATTTTTGTATTTTTAGTAGAGACGGGGTTTCACCATGTTAACCAGGATGGTCTCGATCTCTTGACCTCGTGATCCACCCGCCTCAGCCTCCCAAAGTGCTGGGATTACAGGCGTCAGCCACCGCGCCAGGCCAAGATTATTTTTAAATAACGTACCATATACTGGGGAAGGTTGTTGCCAATCACAGAAGGGGAGGAGATCAGCACGGAGATTATGTACAACTGAGAAACCCTCAGAAAGTCCTTCTGAGTAGCTGGACTGGAGGGATGAAGAGGTGACAAGGGAATATCCAGTCAGCCCTATCATCAGGGCCCATACCCCAGGAAGATGTGGCTAGATTTCTAAAGATGACAGAGGCACCTGCAAGCCCTTAATGAGCTTCTATGGGCAGCACAAAGACTCCTGTTTGTACACAACATTCCAGTGGTCCAAGTGCCCCTCCTTGCCCCCAAGCCTGTGGATTAACACACTCCAGCCAGTTATCCCTAAGTCCATCCTGGCCCCACAGGGTTAGTCATCTCCCAGAGTCATGGGCCTGCCCCAGCCAGGGGTCTCCAGCAGGGATGCTGCAACCATAACTATAGTCCCAAACCTGACAGAACAAAAGGTTCTTAAAAAATAAGGGAACATAACAAATTCCTGCCTGTGGAGAGGGGGCGGAAAAAAGAGAAAAGGAGATCAAACAGGAGAGGGGTTCCTATTATCCAGCCAAGAAAGACTTACCAGGTGGCTACTATGATCAATCCTGGGCTGGGCAGTGAGGACAGTGAAATGAATCAGATTTAGTCTCTACTCTTGATAAGTTCACAAACTACTTAGCAGAGAGGCAGGGAATCTGGTAACCACAAGGTATGAATAGGGCTGTGAAAAAGGTGAATACCAGGTGTTGTGAAACAGAAAGAGGGGCCTGGTGTGGTGGCTCATGCCTGTAATCCCAGCTGTTTGGGAGGTTGAGGCAGGTGGATCACTTGAGGTCAGGAGTTCAAGACCAGCCTGGCCAACATGGTGAAATCCTGTTTCTACTAAAAAATACAATAAAAAATTAGCTGGGTGTGGTGGTGAACACCTGTAATCCCAGCTATTAAGGAGGCTGAGACAGAAGAATCGCTTGAACCTGGAAGGCAGAGGTTGCAGTGAGCCAGGATCATGCCACTGCACTCTAGTCAGGGTGGGTGAGAGTGAGGCTGTCTCAAAAAAAGAAAGAAAGAAAGAAAAGAAAAGAAACAGAGACCTGACCCAGACATTTAGGTGAGCACCTGAGAGGAGGTGCAACCTGAGCAAAGCATTAAAACACCAAGACCTCCAAAAATGCTTGTTAACTGGATGAGAAATGAAGTCGCTTCTGCCACAAAGCACCAGGGATGCCCGGAGCCCAGCTATGAATTCAGTAGAGCTAAAGTTCTGGGTAGTACTAGGTAGGTAAGCAGGGAGGGCCAGGAAGATGAACTCATATTAGCTGAATACCTACCCCATGCCAGATGCCAACAGTGATCTCATTTAATTGTCCTGACCACAGCCCAGGTGGCAGGAAACATTACCCACACTTTACAAAGGCAGAAAGGAGGCTGGGCGTGATGGCTCATGCCTGTAATCCCAGCACTTTGGGAGGCTAAGGTGGGTGGATCACCTGAGGTCAGGAGTTTGAGACCAGCCTGGCCAACACGGCGAAACCCCATCTCTACTAAAAATACAAAAAATCAGCTGGGCGTGGTGACGTGTGCCTGTAATCCCAGTTCTTCGGGAGGCTGAGGCAGGAGAATCACTTGAACCTGGGAGGTGGAGGTTGCAGTGAGCTGAGATTGTGCCATTGCACTCCAGCCAGGCTAAGCAACAGAGCAAGACTGTCTCAAAAAAATAAAAAACAAAAATAAAGGCAGAAAGAGAAAGGAGCTGGAGTTTGGATACCAGCAAAGTCTAGTGTAGAGACAACAGGGAAGGCTCCCACAAGCCACAGCATGAAGGACATATCTTGCAGTCCACTCATGAAATATCCTTGTTTGTCTCTAAAAATTAAAGAGACCCAAGTAGGCCCCTTGTACAGCAGGGTTTGGGTCCTGGGCCAGTCAAATTGGCATCCAGGCCTGGATCTAGAGGCTGGACTGCTAGCCACCCACTGGCTTTGGCATCAGCAGCCTGAAGAGTTTGGGCTCTGGCCTTTCTCTTTCTCCCTTTGGGGGTAAAACGTTGCTTAGGAAGGGCTGGTAGGAGTTAGGGGTAGGAGGTAGCTCAGCCATAGATAAGTTTAAGCTCCAACAGTGCCCTTGCCTGAGGAGGTCAAGTCCAGGCTGTGAACCTTGTAAACCCATTGCAAAGCCTGTGGGAAAGTCCCTCCCTATCTCTGAGCCTCCACAAAAAGGCTGAGTAAAGCTCTCTAACACCAGAGGATCCCAGGAGCTGAGGCAAGATTCTGTCACCTAGTGGTCTAAAGGCCCAAGTAAAGTTGGAGCAGGCTGTGGAACTCAACTGACTTGGGTTCCAATCTAGCTCCACCAATTATTAGCCATGTGATGAACTGCTTTGAGCCACAGTTTTCCAATCTGTGAATGGGGACACCAAGCCTCCCAATAATAGGGATGCTGGGCAGACTCAAATATTAAGGGCTTCCCCTCTAATATTTGAAGGGAAGAGACCATTTAATGAGTTCCTTTCCCTTCCTTGGATGGGAAAAAAGCCTCTGTAGTAGGCTGATTAATAGCCACGCAAAGATATCAAACCCTAACACCCCTGGAACATGTAAATGCTACCTTATAATGAAAACGTAGGGCCAGGTGTGGTGGCTCATGCCTGTAATCCCAGCACTTTGGGAGGCCAAGGCAGACAGATTGCTTTGAGCTTAGGAGTTCAAGATCAGCTTGGGCAACATGGCTAAATCTCATCTCTACAAAAAATACAGGCCAGGCGCAGTGGCTCACGCCTGTAATCCCAGCACTTTGGGAGGCTGAGGCAGGTGGATCATTTGTGGTCAGGAGTTCGAGACCAGCCTGGCCAACATGGTGAAACCCCATATGTACTAATAACACAAAAATTAGCCAGGCGTGGTAGTAGGCGCCTGTAATTCCAGCTACTCAGGAGGTTGAGGCAGGAGAATTG